TTAAAAAAATGAACTCAATTTAATTTTCTAATATTTAAAATAAAAATTTCTTTTTTTAATACTTTTAAATGCAATTTTTTTTTCTATTTTCAAGCTTCTAAAAAAAATTCTCATTCCAAATGTAAAAAATTTCAAGAATTGAAAAAATTGTGATTAAAAAATTTTTGAGAACAGTTTTCACTGCTTTATATATATCCGGGAAGATTTTAGAATTCCGAGGCATTCCACCATTTACGACCCTTTACGAACATCGTAAAAGCCCTTTCACTGACACCAAAGGGCATACGCCTACGCACTTTTATTAGGGAAACAGAAGAGTTAAGGGACTGTTTGCCATCAAAAGAAGCCCTTCGAGATTCTCAAATGTATTATACCTCTCAAGAGAGCCAAATGTGATTCCGGATGAGGCATACATACAACAAAACACACTGCATCGTCCCAAAAAAGCATTCCTTTCCTCGTAGAACGAGGCGCTTGAAACTCGACTCTCTTGATACTTGGCTCCCATGTGTGTGTGTGTGTGAGTTATAAATACATATATGTTACTTGCATCGAGTGCAGGGACCCTTGCCCTTCGATGACATGTCCTTGAACGCGGCCAAGGGCTGTGAAAAGTGAAAGTCAAATTCACGACAAGGACTAACAGGGAATCAGAATATGATTGTAAGCCTCTTTTAAGTTGGGTTTTTTTTTTAAATTCCTATGGCGTATTCAGAAATTTCACATAGGAATTAAAATAAAATTATACGAATTCGTAAATAGAAACTGAAAAAACGGAAAATTTCAAAAATTTCCCTCTGAAGAAAAAACGAAGCATTTAAAATTTTACATGTGCATTTTAAAAAATAAAATTTATGACTATAAAAAAAATAGATATTAATAAAAAATATTTAGAAAAATTTCAAATTAAAAAATTTATAAAAACTTAAATTTTATTTTTCAGTAAAGAAAAAGAAAACAGAATGTTTTTTTAAATATATAGAAACGAAGAACAATTTAAAAAACATAAAGTTTCTACGTGGAGGGAAGTTAACAAAATTTTTTAAATAAAAAAAAAAACTAAAAAAAAATAGTAATACAAATAAAATGATGGGAGAAAAAAATGTGAAAGAAAAATAAACACATTTAACCATTGTTAAAAGAGGTGTATGTGTAAAAAAAAAGGAGAAAAGGTTTTCTTTTTCTAAATCAAAGGGGATTCGATAGGACATTGTATCAGGCAGTGAAAATTACAAGGAGGTGTTGAAGGGACTTGCAGGCCCCATTACTACCCTTGAAACACCATTCATTCAAGTCTGCTTACACACGTTCCACACGTACATAAACACACACACACAATCTCACGACACATGGTTTCCACTCTGACATTGAGGGTAAAAGGAATATTATACAGCTTTACACAAATATTACAATTTCTCGCATTATTTAAAAATTTTATTTTAAAATTACTATAAAAAATTTTTAATTGAAAAAAAATTACCTCTTTATTTTTTATTCTATTATATTTTATTTATTATTAATTTCTTATTAATTTATTATTTACTTATTATTTACTTATTATTTACTTATTATTTATTTTATATTTATTTTCAATTCATTTTCTACTTTACTATTTCTTCTCTATTTTCTATTATTATTTTTTATTTATTTTCTATTCATTATTCTGTTTCAATCGAGGTTTCAATAATTCGTAAAAAATTTTCCCTTATAAAAATAAATTCAATTTTTATAGATAAATATTCAAAATTAAATATTCTTAATTGCTTCTTTATTTATAATAAATTATTTTTAAATAAAGATGTAATATTCCGACAATAGGTATAAAAATAAAAATTCTTACAATTGGAATAAAATAAGAATAAAATACAGACGATTTTATTCGTAACCTATTCGATTCTGATTCTAATTTAAATTATACTTTTTACCAATTTAAGTGTTAAAATAAAATTTGATATTCAAAAAATTATTTTATTTCGAAATATATTTTTAAATAAAATAAGTAAAATAATAATATAATAATAATAATAATAATAATAATAATAATAATAATAATAATAATAATGAAATAATAATAATAATAAAATAACAAAATAAATAAAATAGAAAATTCAATTTTCTCCAATAGGAGCGCATCCCCTTAAGAGACTGAGAGTGTGTTTAGTGTGTTCCTCCTATATGAGGATAGAAATTAACATCTCTGTAGTAATAGCAAACTACGAATGTCCTATCAAGTAGACAGAATTAGACAGGAGTTTGAAAATGACTACATGTGTTTAGGGATGTTTGATTTTCTAACATTTAGAACGATGTTAAGGGTGTAAAGTAATAGGACAGTATGTCAATACTAGAGGTCTTTTACCACAAAAGGGGTGTTGCAAGTTAGGGGTCAGAGTTTAAGGGGATGTTGAGAAATATAATACTGCACCCTCTCATCGCACGAAACTCGTATATCCCCCCCGTCGAGAATTCGACACACAACAAAGCATATACACACACGCACCACTATACACACACCTATATCGATATTCACTCGTTTTTAGTCCCCTTTTGGAAAATTGAGTACAATGGGGAGACAAATGAAAAAAGAACCGAACCTATATATATAAAAGAATTCCATTGAAAAAAAGAGGAACCATTTTTTTTTACCTGAATTTAAAAAATATTTCTCCAATTTTTAATAATAATAATAATTGAAAAAAAAGAAAATTATTTAATATTTTAAAAACGAAATAAAAAATTAAATTTTTTTGCAAATGAAATAGTTTTGTAATATTTTAAAAACACGATAAAATTATCATAATTCATCGCGTATAGATGATAAAATAAGTCAAAGTCCATTTTAAAAGTGTACAATATTTCCTCTAATTCAATAATAAACTTTGTACACAAAAATACAGTAAAATTTAGAAACTACATAATAAAAACTTGCACAATAATTTTTTTTTTCTTCACAATCGTTATACTTTATGACGATTATTCCATGACCTTTTCTATCCTAATTCTATGTATTTCATTATTTTCAAAAAACAAGTTTAACAATAAACAATAACAAAATGAACATATATTTCAAATAATTATAATTCCTTGCATTTTTTAAAAATAAATGCATAAAAAAAATTATTCGAAGATCGAGGCTAATTACAGTATTCTTTAGAAATGAGAACCTGGTTTCATTCCAAGAAAAGGGATCTTGAGTGCAAGAGAGGAAAAAAAAGCGGTCCCTTTGAAAGTTTACTCCTCCTCTGAATTTCAAATATTATACTGTTGCGGTTCTTTTGAAACAATTCATCACAATTATTTTATTTCCCTAATCACGAACAAGTTCGTGACTGTTTTTCGTCTCCTTGTATTTTTTTTTATCGAGAGAAAGAGAAGCAAACGTGGGGGGATGAAAGAAGAAGAAGAGAAGAAATACGATGAGCGCGAGACTCTTATATGATGACGACACGCATCAGTCACTCTTTAGATTGTTCAGAGTCTAGCACGCGTTTATACAAATTAATTATAGTATCAATTATATATTATCATTTAAGTCGTGAGACCCTGACCTCGAATCTTCATCCAAAGTTCACATTTCTCTTTGGAGCGGAAGAAAGTAAAAAAAATCAAATAAAAAAAAGAATATATGAATCTAGGGGATTAATTTTACATTTTGTAATTTCAATTTTAAATAAAGTTTATATTACGCCAAAACGACCTTGGGAGCCATCATCATCATCATGACCTTGGATCGATGTATTCATTTGTGAAATTTCATCCAAGCATGGACCAAGATTATTTCACCAGAATTGTCTCATGCTGTGAATACAATTTTCAATTCATTTCAAATAAGATTTACTAATATTTTTTTTATTGTGTATTGTTTAATCTATTTTTTTATTTTTATTTATTATTTTATTTATTACTTATTTTTTACTTAGTTTATTTATTTTTATTTCAGTTTTATTATTTATTTTTTTTGTTTATTGCTTATTTTTTATTTAGTTTATTTTTGTTTCAGTTTTATTTATTATTTTATTTATATATATTTTTATATAATTTATTTATTAAATAAAATTTATTTTTATATAATTTATTTATTAAATAAAATTTATTTTTATATAATAAATATTGTTTACTTTTAACTTTAATTACAGTTTATCGCCGACGACAAATAATATAAATGCCTTTCAGCAGTACCTCAAAAATTGCCTATAAACGATCTAGTGCGAAAAAGTGAGTGAAACTATTACCAATTTCAAAACGTTTCGTAGAAACAGAAAGAAGGATTAATTAAGTCAATCACTGATCATTCATTTGTTGATTTCGTATATAATTATTATTTTCCTTTTTTTTTTTTTTTTAATCAACGAAGCCTCTGCTCCCGAGAGCACTACTATCACCAACTCGACTTGCGTCAATCGATTTTTCACGATGTCTCTATCTTATACGACTCGAGAGTATATCTGGTACATACAGTTTCAAGTCACGAGCGAATGTTCACACGTAAAGCGCTCTATTGTAATTAGAAAATAATGTCAAATTTAAATTGGTAATTAAAAAATAAAAAAAAAAATTAACAATCCCCAAGTGTCGAAAAAAAGTGTTGAATCATCACTTTCAAGGACAATTTAAAAAAAAAGTGCTTGTGAAACAATTAAACAAATTAATTAAAATTACTATTATTAATTAATTAATTATTAATATAATTACCCATTGAATAGTGAAAATAATTAAAGTAATTAAAATACTAAAAGTGAAGATAGTAAAAAATTAAATTAATAAAAAGTGAAAAACAAAAATTAATTACGTATTCATAACGGTGAAAAAACAAAATTAATTCACAATGAAAGTGAAGACAATAAATAAATGAAATATTAAAAGAGAATATAAAAACAACGCTGTGACAATTAATAATAAATTACAATAATAAAAGTGGAGATTTGAAGAAAGAATTAGATAATAATAATAAATAATAATAATAATAATAATAATTAATTAATTAATTAATTAATAATTAATAAATAATAATAATAATAATAATAACAGTAATAATAAAAAAGTGAAAGTAATTTTTTTAAATTGAAAATAGTTAAAAAAAATAATTCAACATGTTTTTAAATGACACTTTGTTGATGTTAATGTACACCGCCAATATTATGTCAACCATTCCTAATGAAACAAAATCGGATAATCATCAAATTGATGATCAAATGGATCGAATTAATACAACGACCACAACTCTTTCGCCCGAAGAGCAGGAAAACAAATTCGATTTCGAGGACGGTGAGTATTAATCAATTTACTAATTTTTTGTTTAATTAAACAAAAATCCCAAAATCAAAAAACAAATTTCAATGTGAAAACTATTGTAAAATACAATAAATCCTACCTTACATATGAAGCTTTTGATGATCTCCATAACCGTTATGATGACGACTCAATCCTGAAAAAAGACAAAAATTTCAAAATTAGAACAAAAATTAAAATTAAAAACAAATTAAAACTAAAATTACTACCTATTAATAATATATATATATGGTATAACTAAATAATATTATATATAAAGAAAATTTGTAAATTACTAATCAATGGTTAATTAAAATAATAAATATATAATTGATAAAGATAATTTTTTGTAAGTGTTAAAAAATGTTTTTTAAATCATAAAGATATTATATATATATATATATATATATATATATATATATATATATATGTAAACTTATTTGCTACATGATAAATTGCAACAAAACGTCGTCACTATAATTGCAAGAATTAACAACTACAAATTGCAAAAGGCTATATTTCATATATACGACAAAACACAGCAATGTTAAAAAGAGGTCAGTAATTAACATTGAAGTTTTCATAATTTTCTAGAAAATATACTAATACACGATTAAGCAAACACACAATTTATTATTTTTCTTAAAAATTTCATAATTTTCAATATTTTCTATAAATATTTAATTCGACTTTATATATAGAAATATATATATATTTAATTATATATAGTTTATTTATATTAATTATTAATTCTCCTGATGAAAATTTTTCATTTTATTAATTTATATAGAATAGATATGTATCAAAGTCTGACATTTGATTCACATTTTGATTTCTTTTTTTTTTTTAATGTATATTATGAATTTGTTTTGACGTAAAATTACGTAAGTCATAAGTTGACAAATATTTTGTAGTAAAATGTTTTGGCCTTTAAGAGATATAGAAACGCGTATATGAATGATATACTATATACATAAATAAAAGCGAAAAAATTTTAATAGTGAAGATATTTCGATTTCTTCACATATATTCAATTAAAATGTAAATTTTTCACAAGTATCAAACAAATGAAGCAATGTTTTGTTATTTTCTATTAACTCTTTTAAATTTTATTACCACTCGAATAGGATAATAGCGAATTTAATGAAGTAGTGAATAATAACTATAATTTAAATAATTAATTTTTATTACAATTTTTTGAGCATACTCTCTAAATTTGAATCAGTGAAAAAGTCACTGGTCTCAAATCAGTCGCTAAATTCTAGCTATTTGAATCAGTAACATTTCACTGATTTTCAGTCAAAGTAATTGATTCTCCAGTGAAATGTAACTAACTGTCAGTGAAAACCACTGATTCAAATAGCTAGAATTTAGCGACTGATTTGAGACCAGTGACTTTTTCACTGATTCATATTTAGAGAGTAAAGCAAAATTTAGTGAAATGGAAAGAATTTTCCTTTTTTGGTATATGTATATATATATATATCAAAATTGAGAAATTCGAAATCAAGTTTTCTATATAATACGTAATAGTGACAACAATTGATTGTAGCTGCAATCGCAACCGTGCCGAATTAATCTTCTTATAGCAATATTGGAGACATAACATAAAACGTGCTTTGAGGAACTGATGAACATTCATGTCATTAATGTTGACATTAATCTTTTGGTCTGTAAAGAGTTATTATCTTGTCAATGCCGATAACCTCTCTTGAAGAATATGGCAAAACTTTTCAATATACCGGTCAATGGTAATTCGCTTATCAGACATCGCACATGTCAATACTAAATATAGACAAATCTCATAATTTTTTCCCCATTATCCGCAACTTTCCGCACATTCATAAAAAATTTCCCCTCCAACATTTTAAAATATAATTATAATTTTTCAATTAAAAATTAAAAATTAAATAATTATCAAAATTTGATAGAAATATTGAATGAATTACAGAATGGTACATGTGGAGATGTTATCAACCTTATGGATGCTTTTACATTGGAGCTCCATGGTCTGGTGATAATCGACCAGTTTCAACGTTTCCAATGAGACCAGACAATATAAATCCTCGATTTCTACTTTATAATCGAAAAGAACCAAATAAATCGCATTCCTTAATTATTGATAAAAAGGAAACAATACAAAATTCCCCTTTGAAAAAAGATTCAACGGTTTTTTTTATAATTCACGGATATCTTGATAATGGAGATAAAACATGGGTCCTGGTAAGTTATATATAAAAATACTACTATACTAATTACCCAGGTGAAAAAATTAACGTTACTAACGTTACTAATGTTACTAACATTACTAATGTTACTAAAGTTAGTAATTATAAAAAAATTAAGAGTTTCTAAAATATATTTTCACAGAAACTTTGACACTACTTTCCCATTACCACTTTCACTTCCACTTAAACTTTTTATAATTTTCATTCCCATTTCCACTTATACTTTTTCTAATTCTCATTCGCACTTCCATTCTCACTTCTACTCTTACTAATTCTCATTCCCACTTCACTTCCACTTTTTCTAATTTTCATTCCCATTCCTACTTCCACTTCCAGTTTTTTATATTCATTGCCACTACCACTTTTTCTAATTCTCATTCCCACTTTCACTTCCACTTCCACTTGTTCCAATTTTCATTTCCATTTTCACTTCCACTTTTTTATATTCATTGCCACTTCCACTTTTTCTAATTTTAATTCCCATTCCTATTTCCACTTTTTTATATTCATTGCCACTACCACTTTTTCTAATTCTCATTCCCACTTTCACTTCCACTTCCACTTGTTCCAATTTTCATTCCCATTTTCACTTCCACTTTTTTATATTCATTGCCACTTCCACTTTTTCTAATTTTCATTTCCTTTCCTATTTCCATTTCCAGTTTTTTATATTCATTGCCAGTACCACTTTTTCTAATTCTCATTTCCACTTTCACATTTCACATTCACATTTCAATTTCACTTTCCCACAATGGAATGGCGAATGAGAATTAGAAAAAGTGGAAGTGAAAGTGTTAATGTAAATAAAAAAGTGAAAGTGTAAATGGGCATGAAAATTATAAAAAGTGGAAGTGAAAATTGGAATAAGAATTAGAAATAGTGAAAGTGGAAACGGTAATGAAAATAAAAAAGTGGAAGTGATAATAGAAATGAAAATTATAAAAAGTGCGAATTATAAAAAGTACATTAAATACTTCCTGGTGGTCGATTTTCGACAAGTTTCTGCAAAAATACAATTTAGAAACATTTTCTTAATTTTTTTATAGGTACTAACGTTAGTAACATTAGTAACGTTAGTAATATTAATAACGTTAGTAATGTTAATTTTTCTACCTGGGTAATACTAATTTAATTTTTTCATCAATTTTATCGTATTTTTAAACAAACAAAAAATTGTCATTTATAGAGAATGACAAAAGAATTATTAACAAGAGAAGATAGCAATGTCGTGGTTGTAAATTGGTTGGGAGGAGCTGGACCACCTTACACACAAGCTGTTGCAAATACAAGATTAGTCGGTGCAATGACAGCACGATTAGCATCGCAATTAATTGAAATAGCAAAAATAAAACCAGCAAAAATTCACATAATTGGACACAGTTTAGGAGCTCATACAGCTGGATATGTTGGTTATCATCTACGAATTCAATATGGTTATCGATTAGGAAGAATAACAGGTAAAATTTATACTCTACTTTCATTTTCAAATCAGTGTGTAGCGCTAAATAAATTGCTATCCTGTAAAATACTGCTCTCTGGTGAAAAAGAAACGAAGCATAAGGATAAAGTTACTTTACCATGCTGCATATCATTCCACAGCTGAGTAACTATCTGTTACTTTTTATTTATCAATTAACGACGAGAAGGTCAGGGTAAATCCTCAAGGAAAACCTCTTTTCGCATGTCAAAAAATGAGTACAATTTTAATACCTGTACAATTTTTGCAAATTAGAAAACTATTTTTATCAAAATAAAACAGTTAATAAACTATACCTACTAATGTATATAGAAAGCACAATACGGGTCAAATGATCATTACATAATATTTCTAAACCGTGCGAAAATGTAGGAAAGTTAAGAGCAAATTCGCAAATGATCAGGATAATTTTATAATATAGTAGTTTCTATAATAACGATATATATATAAATAAGATTTCATAACATATTCGCTTACTTAACATTTTGAAAAGTTGAAAAATGATTTCCGCACTTTCGCAAATTGGTTTTTAAGAATGGCCTAATACTAATTTGTAGAAAATTCACCTAATGATATATAATAAAATTTATTAATATAGAATAAAAGTTATTAAACATTAGGTTATTATCACAGAAAATTAAAAGGCATTAAAATAAGCTGCAACCAATTTAATCCAATTTTGCTTATTTTAATCCATTTTGGTATTAAAATAAACAAAATTGGTTGTAGCTTATTTTAATGCCTTTTAATTTTCTGTGATAATACCTATTCTCATTTGGATGAGAATCTAAAAAGGAGATAATAAAATTTATTTACAGGTTTGGATCCAGCTGAACCTCATTTCAGTAATACTTCACCAATGGTGAGACTGGATCCAACGGATGCTGATTTTGTCACAGCCCTTCATACAGATTGTAATCCTTTTATTAGCGGTGGACTTGGTATCACTCAACCTGTCGGTCATATTGATTTTTATCCAAACGGAGGACGCAATCAACCAGGTTGCGATGAAGGTGTACTAAATTCTATTTCCCTCGAGCGAGGAAGTTTCTTTAGAGGTATACAAAATTTACTTTTTTTTTGCCTTATTTTTAAGAAATTAACAAACCTATCTCTCGATTCGTAATTTAATTTTCAAAAGATTTAAATTCTCCATATATATTCTCAGAATTTATACTAATACTTTATCTCTTTTTCGTTTTTATTAGAAACATATCGGTAAATATTGCGTTTCGAAATAATTGAGGTATTTCCTTTGTCACTCTCGGAATTTTACCGTTATATGTTTTTCAAATATATGCATTCATCGAACTTACTTCTCACGGTGCGCCAGAAGGTGACTTAAATAAAAATGAATTGGCACTTAAAAATTCTTTTTGATTATGATTCTTAGATATGAATAACAAACATTTCACAATAGTTTTTAAAATCAGTTTACGTGCCCGATTTAAATAAAATTGAGTTTTTATATAAAAACAGTGTTTTATGGGGAATCAGAATTTATTTAATCTAATAAATACTGTAATAAATGATAAAGTAATTACTTATTTTCAATTTTACATATAAATAATTATATTGCTGTATAGTGTTTGTGTCCAATTTTAAAAAATTAAATTATAATGTTAAAAGAACGATTTTAAGAGTGACAAAATTTATTTAAGAGAGTCGAATGGTCTCTGAAATTTTTTGGCAAGAAGTGACTTTTAATTATCGCTCTATAAAAACGGCACTAAACGTGAAAATGATAAACATTGATTTTAAAATACTTTCTTCTCGAAAGACGGACACTTTTTACAAAAGATCGTTATCTTATCACAGAAAATTAAAAGGCATTAAAATAAGCTGCAACGCTTCTTATTTTAATCCAATTTTGCTTATTTTAATACCAAAATGGATTAAAATAAGCAAAATTGGATAAAAATAAGAAGCATTGCAGCTTATTTTAATGCCTTTTAATTTTCTGTGATATAAATTTCCTAAATCCTAAAGATTATACGAATCCATACAAAAACACGATTGCAAAACGAAAAGTAATATAATGACTGGTACATTACCTCCTGCCGCCGTCAGATGGCAGCAGCATGCAGGGCGCACAAAGTCGCAGCTGTTATTAGATTACTTTTCTACTTTTTGTTTTGCAATCATGTTTTTCTATGGATTCGTACAGTCTTTTGGATTTAGGAAACTTATAAGATGAGGATTTTGGCTGATTTTCGTGTTTCGAGAAAAAAGTATTTTAAAATTAATACTATTTCACGTTCAGAGCAATAATTAAAGCTCTCTTCTTGCTAAAGAATTTCAGATACCGTGTTCGACACTCTTAATGCATAAATATAAAAACGAAACAAGAAAATAACTTCATTGTTAATAAATTTATATGAACCCAAATCTAAAACATCTATTATTATCTATACGCATATAAGTATACATAAATTCTGGTTCCTCATAAAATACTATTTTTAAATATTTAAAACTCAATTTGTTTTAAATTGGGCACGTAAGCTGATTTTAAAACCTATTGAGAAAAGTTTTTTATTCATCTAAGAACCATAATCAAAAAGAATTTTTAAGTGCCAATTCATTTTTATTTAAACCTCCTTCTGGCATTAATTTTTTCCATACAAGAACAAGAATAGAAGAATAATTTAAAAGAAATCAATTTTTTTTCAGGAATCAAAAGATTTCTCGGTTGTAACCACATTAGAAGTTACGAATACTTCATGGAGAGTATAAACACTGCCTGTCCCTTTATAGCAGTGCCTTGCGAATCTTGGGATAAATTTTTAGAAGGTAGTTGCTTCGACTGTGTGAATCAATATTGCCCCAGGTTTGGATTTGATGCACAACCAGGAAACTATCATGCATCAGTTTATCTCATGACTGGTCGAGAAAAGCCTTTCTGTAGTAAGATTTATCAAAAACTAAATTGCTTAATATGTTCCGAAATTCGAATTCATGAATTATTAATTATAATCATAAAAAAAAATATTTATAAAATTTAATTTTATATGAAGTCTTAAGGGACTTTTTGGAATTAATGTAAAATTAAAATTTCAGGAGGTCACTATCGAGTTAAGATAAATATTTCAAAGACAGTTGAGAGTATGGATCATGGTGGCGAAGTGGGAAAGTTTGTCATGAAGGTAATTGGAGCAAATGAGAAAATGACCGAGAAATTGCAACTAAGCGAAACTTCCGAGTACTATGAGCCTGGAAGTACTCACACGGTAGTTTTGTCTGGTGATGTTGTTGGTAAACCGGAAGCTGTTGAATTAACCTGGGAATATCAAACTTCAGTTTTCAATCCACTTACTTGGAGAATATTGCATAAACCAAAAGCCTATATTGATTTTTTAACTGTTGATAGTTTGGAATTCAGTACCGGGTAAGAAACTATAATTTGTTTATTATTTTATGTTAATATTATTTACAAAAATAAATTTTATTACAGAATCACTGTATGTCCGGATGAAACAAAAACTCTTATTGCGAACGAGCCGAAAATTTTAACAGTGGAAAATTGTCGAAATACAGATCTTAATATAGTTTCAACGTGAAGGGGACTATTACAAAAAATAAGATTCATCAATATTGCATTTCAATTTCGAGCCTTGAAGTTTTATAAAAACATAAAAAATTTTTCCATTTCTTATATTATATTATTTCATAACAAATGTTAAAAGAGCACGAGAAGTGTATATTTTTAAATTTTTAACTTTGCTTCAAAGCGTGTTTGAAACATTTAAAATCAACTCGATTTTCGAGGACTTCATTGCAAGACTTTATTTGAAATCTACGTCATTATTATAAAAAAATTAACATTAAATATTTATTCTTTATAACTTCTTTTTTGTATTTTAATCTTTTTCTATATATATAGTAATAAATTTTATTTAATTAAACAAATTGTTTTTATTATTTCTAAATTTTGTTTATATTTCTAGTATCATTAAGTTTTTATAATCAAAAATTTCTGTTATTTCAAAAAAAGGTTTACAAAATCTAGGTTTTAATTGCAAAGGTTCAATAATATCAACATATTTCTTTTTTTTTGGGCTAATTTTGAGCGACTGAGAAGAGATAGAAATTTGGGGTTTTTTGGACATGGAAAATAATTTTGAAAGGAATCACATCATAGAATGAACGATCGGTATTGGGTGAATGGTCAAGTGTCGGTGGTGGGCGAATGTTCCAGGACAAGTGAATCCATCGTGCATTCAGTCGAGCATCGGCCTCTCACCGTGAAACGTTTTAGTTTCTATATAACGTTCGCGCGCTTTTTTTTTTTTTTTTTCTCTTTCTCTCCATTTCTTTTTACACATTCCGTTGTCATTGATTTCGTAACACCTAACGATAGCGAAAAAAAAAAAAATTAATCGAAAAATTCTTTGGTGACCATTGAAAAAACGTGGGAAAAAAAAAGTCTAACGTTCTACAAGTGCCAAGAGTGACTATTGGATCTCTGCAGAAACACGTGAACAAGTATTCAATTGATACTGGAAGCCATGGCTTATCGCTAGGAGAGAAGGAGATATCTCTGTGACATGAGAGAGTGACTTTGAAAATGTGAGCAAATTCTTCTCAAATTTTACAAAGGCAAAAAATGTCTTTTAGAAAAAACTTTTTCAATTCGATATATATACATGAAAAACAATCTGATGATTTAAAAAAATAAAAAAGAAATTACGTTTGGTAAATATGCAAGTTCGCGTGTGCATTGATTTTGTAATAATACTCTTATTTTTCAATTAAATCAGTTTAATTAAATCGATTTCTCAATGCAAACATTCACTATTGGCAGACATAACTTGAATGATCTAGAAGTCTGTTACAAAATAGAATTGCAAACTAAGAAAACCTGCACGAAATTCATATATATAAAAATAGACAAACATGACTTTATCTTTTATTCAAGGTTTTCATTTTGACATTTCGAATTTTACCGCCAGTTTATTCACGTGGCGTTCACTTCAAAAAAAAATACTAACAAATGTATAATAATTCTAAAATTCATATAACATCTACTGTTGATCATTTCAATAGTCAAATAGATCAAAATTATTAAAGTTCAAAGATCTTTAGATTTCAAAGATCTATAGATCACTCCAAATATCCTATAGATCATTTCAAAAAGCAAATAAAACTTTATAAATCGTTTCAAATGATCTATAAATCGATTAAAAGATCAATAGATCACTCCAAATATCCTGTATTAGATCATTTCAAAAACCAATGAATTATTATAAAAATTTATAAATCGTTTCAAAGGCTTTCGATCTATAAATCGATTAAAAGATCAATAGATCATTTCAATAACTTAAATACCAGATAGATCATTTCAATGATCAAATAAAGTATCAAAATTCGATAAATATCCTATTTTAACAATTAATAAATAAAGTTTCATTTAAAATTCAATAAATTAAAATTTCTAAATTCTAGTATACGTGAGTAGTTTGGAGAAAAGAAAATTAGGAGACCTTTTTCTAATTGATTGGAGATATTTTACACGACAGTTACCTAACTTTCTATATATTATCATCACTGATGCGAGATTTTATGATGAATCGACTTTTACTATTAAAAGATCATCATATAAAAGTGATGGCGAGAAACCGATGTGGATTTGATTTGCTCGCGAGAACTAATTAAGATCGAAAAGAGATTTGTACGATGTCAGATTGAATATATATTTTGGAAATTGAGACGTGGAATTCTCTTTATGACATTTATATATATTTTGATTATACCTTGTAGACAAGGTATATATATATATAAATAAAATTATGTATATATGAACGTCAAGAAACGAATCGCGCTTTCTCCACACTGACTAATCTATCTATATGTGTAGGCGTATAATGTGCTTTTACAGAGCACTAATACAAATTATAAACACACGCATATGAATTAAAATGACGTATAACCTGATCGAGTCAATTATAGAACATTTATTATTTACAATATTTTATTTCACACTTTGTATTAAACAATTTGTAAAATTAATAAACGTTTATGTCATTTTAACAATGGATTAAAGTTCATTTCAATTTCAATTCTAATTAATAAAATTAATGGTAATTAGGTACATAAATAATCACTCTAATTTTAATTAGTAAAAATTTTAACTAATTTAAATCAGTGACTCACTTTTGAATTAGTTAAATTTTACTAATTCAAAACTAAAAAGTGAATCACTAATTCAAATTATTTAAATTTTACTAATTCAAAACTAAAAAGTGAATCACTAATTCAAATTAGTTAAAATTTTTACTAATTTTACCAATTCAGATTTAGAGAGTATATATTTATTCATTGAAACCTATTTATTTAAATTATATAATAATTAATAAAAATTAATAATATAATAATTAAAATATATAAAAATAATATTTTCAAATTAAATACCCACATATTTGTTGTATAACATAATAATTTTGCTACTAAGTGAAAATTAATAGAAATTAAAAATTAATAAAAAAAGCGCATATCAATTAGAATTGAAAACAAAATTGTATAACATTAATCCATTGAATTATATAAGAAAACGATTAATATTTATCTCAACCTGAATAATTCATCCATTTTCCAAGAATCTATAAAACTTTTATACTTCCGCCTTGAATTTGAATAAGAAATCACTTTATGTATATCAAGTATCGACGCACTATCAAACTATTAACAATTTTTGTTTTCTACTTGTGCATATCATTAATTTACATTGTTTACGTTAATATTTTATTCAAATCTTTCAATTGTTTACACTGAATTTTTATTTCAGTCTATTTTTTTAGAGAACTCGAATCAATCTATATTTATATAATCTAAAATTTAAATTGTCACGAATTTATCGGAAAATAGAAGAGAAATTAATATTAGTTAACGAACAAAATTTTTATATTTGCAAAAATTTGCAATTATGGAAAATTAAAGAAAACAAAGAAAGAAACTTGAAAATATTGCTATATATAGGAGTGTTTAAATTAAAATGGAATTATTGTTTGAAATGACAAATCGTAATGCAAATGTGTCGAAGCCATTCGCCTGAACATAATGAACCTGCCACATATATATATATATATAATTATTCTATCGAGAATATATAATTGCCGACCTAGGTTTACATGGCGATCAAAGTAGGAAGTTCGAGGTCGCACTGTGATTGCAGTCACGATTGCATTCCTTCACTCAAAACCAGTCATTAATTTTTTATCTCGATTATTTATCTCTTCATCAAATATATAAAAAAAAATTATATATTATTTGATCGGTAATATCTTTTCATTTATAAATATGTTGATAAATATCAATTAATAATAATAACTCTAAATAATAGATTAAAAAAATTATATATCCCATTTCAATTGAATTGGTAGTTGCATTAAAGTTTCAGTCATATTGGTAGCTTCATTTATTGTAATTTAGAATAGAATTTTATTTAATTTCATAATTTTTTATTTTTTATTAATTTAATTCATTATTAAAAAAAACATATAGAAATAGAAATTTGTTATTATATATATATAGTTAAATAATTATAGTCTCTTTTCATTTTCTCCGCAAAGAATTCCTGATGAATTCATTAGTGTCAATTGAGGTTGAAATTGAAAGTATGAAGATCTTTCAATATACTGTCAATTTAATTACATGCAATATTAATGGGTGAATATAATTCTAGATCATAAATATATAATCGTTTTTTCTCAACATTTGTGAATAATATTTCTCATCATAAAACACTGTACTCTCGACTTTTCACCGAGCTCGCGCTTTCCACTCAACAATCCCATTTTTGGTCCAGGCCACGACTATTTATTATTAACGTCAACATTCTGCGCTTTCCACGTTGCAATCCTGCTTGTGGCTTGCCATAGTGGACACAATTAGTATCTAACCAAGTTCCCACTTGTGGCCATTATGGTCTCTCGGGAAACTTTGTTGTCTACCAATAAAAAAAAAAAGTATGCACATACGCACATTTTTTTTTTCTCAAGAATTTTTTCTAAAAATTTTTTCATATTAAATATTCGCCTTTAAAAAAAAACTAACAATTTTATAATTCGAATTTATCAAATTAGTTATTCAAATGTAAATCATTCGTCTGAAGACCACAAAGTAATTTCTATTTTATTTTTAAAGTATGATAAAAACGATTTTTTTTATAATAATATATTTTAAGTTAGTAAAAAAATGAACGTCAAATGTCAACCGCAAAGAGGATAATTTCCACTAAAAATGTTTTTTTTTTACTATTTTTGTATCATTGACAATTGTAAGTTTTAATTTTTGTAAATTTAAACAGTATATATCTTTCTCAATCCTTAAAATAAACAATAAGTGTTTATGCAAACTATTTATGCAAAATTAGCAATTTTTTAAAACTATGCATCTTAATTATGTAATAACTATATAATCTTCTTTGTTCCATTTGAATATTATGAATGGATCATTAGAATTGGAAATTCAAGGACTATTTTTGAAGAGCACAATAATTGTTCAACCATATGATATATAATAAATTATAAAAATAAAAATAAACATTATAAAGATATTATAAATATTATTATAAAAATATAATGTCTTTTTTAATGTTTTAATCGAATAACACAAAAATCTTGAAAATATGACTTAGTTTTCGAGTTCTGGCCGTCAAAAATACAACTAAATTTTTTGTAATAAAATTTTTCCAATAAATTAAAATATTTACCTTAATGATGAATTTTCAGCTTCCAGGAGATATTCATTCAAACTAATTAGCCCTCGGAGATCCCTACTTTCAAGTTAAATTTTCATTCAGAAAATGTGAAAAATAACCGTCAAAATAGACCGAGTTCTAAAAAGTTTGAATATATGAAGAATTCCGTGTCCTTCAAGATAAAACACCGCAAGCCATCGAGGATAGAATCTTGGTTGGTTGGTTTTGGTTGTTGGCCTCTTGTCCCAAAAAGAGGTTAGAATCTGCAAAAAGAAAAAATTAAAATCATTTCCAAATTTGAAAAAAAATGTGGCATCAAAATTAAACCTATAAAGTAATGAAACTAAAAAAATTCATAATTAGAAAAACAAACTGAAAGTACCATATAGACTAAAATTCTATATCATCAAAATTACCCCACAGATGGAAACTATCAATAATTAAATCTTTCAGCTATTAAAATTATTAAGATTTTTTTTTTTATAAAAATAAAAAGCGCAGGATATATGAAAATAAATTAATTACCTACATAGAAAGAAATATGAGAATTCAACAAAAAATAATTAAAATTCGTATACGCGTAATAATTTTAATGAGCAATAAAATAATTATTTAATTAGATAAAAAACTGTCTGAAAGTGCAATTAATGAATTTTTTTTTATTATTTCTGTGTGTCCAACAATACTTCCTTATTTCCGCGACTTTCGCTGTTTCCGACCAAAGTTTTCCCCCGGTTTATTGAAACAATTACTCTTGCATTTGAATTTCCGCTCTATATATCATGTCGATGACAATAAATACGCGCAAAGGTGCAATAAGAATTCTCATTTTTTTTTTCACATTGTTCTCTTTTTTTCTCTCATTTTCTTTTCTTTTCTATTTTTTTTTTTCGTTCATTCCTTTTTGCTTTTATTATAACTTTTCTTAAAGGTCAGTCGTGCTATCTTAACTTATATGAGTTACGCAACAAATCGACCGGTCTCGAGGAGCGGAACTTTGCCGCTTTCTGCGACAAACACTTCCGCAACGCGCAGTTTCCCCTGTAATCTTGTCAAATACAAATCCAAGAGGTAAAAACTTTGTATATATATATACATTCTTATATTCTGCAATCAAGATAATCCCCGTAAATCGTCTGCGCGATGATGCATTTGAAAGTCCTTACAAAAACGTTTCGTTGATATATGTAAATTATTATAAAAACGATTTCTCACAAAAAAAAGGACAAGGAAATTTATTAAAAAAAAAAAAATGAAAATGACTAAAAAGAAATTATTTTCCCTTACTGAAAAAATAAGAGAAAAAAAAAGAAAATTATGAGAAAAAAATTTCTATTCTAAAATTATGTTTAATTGAAAAATATTTAAAGAATTAGAGATAGTTTATGATATTTAGGCAGATTTTCATTTCTAATAATAATGAAAGTTGAAAATTTTCACATAGCTCGCACTTTGAACGGTAATTAATTTCGTGATTGCAATAAATTAGAATGCTTATAGAAACAATAATAATTGATTTGAAACTATCTATAATTCAACTTGGTAATAATTAAAATTAAAATTTTCATTGATTGAATCTGACACTGCTTAAAACTGCGAATAATTAAAACTACTGCATAAAATACCATAACGATAGAAATATAAATTAACAATACTGATAATAATTAGAACCACCGCAAAAGTACTAAAAACATAAAATAAATTTTTTTTCATTTTGAAAATATTCAAAGTAACTGAAACGACAAGTTATTTAAAATACCTCCATTGTTTCATAACTAATAATAAATGAAATTTTTATTATAAAAATTTCTCACACGAATATTCTGACACAATGTATTTTCACTTGGAATTTATTAAGCAATCAGAATCATCAAAATAATTATTTGAGTATATCCTTTTACAACACTTTACGTGTAGGATTTTTGTATAGAGAAAATAAATCCAAACATTTTACAAAATGGTAATCAAAAGTAATTTTCTTCTAAAATATAGACGCATGTAGATTCTTAGGTAACTATACTTATTTGTACCGCAATAAAAAAAAACCGCATAGCAAAAAAATTCAATTCATCCCAAATAGTTTTGCATAATTTTCCAAAGGAGTGGATATTATATTCTATAGAATGCATTCCACAGATGATTACATAAAATTCAAATAGAATTCAATTGCTTTAAAGAATTCAATATGTCGCATAAATCACACTCCTTTTACAAAGGAATTTGACGCGAATTAATAATATAATTTTCATAATAATTAATTCACGTTAATCACTAACCTAATTATTTTATATTACTAAGAATTCTTGAGTAATAATTTGCAAAAAAAAAATACATAGATATTAATAAATCATATTTAAAAAAAGACTTGTCAAATCGAGTCACGGTGTGATTATAAACTTATAATGTCAGGTAAAATGAAATGACCCGCGAGTCATTAATTAGGAACTTCTTTATATTCCTTAGAAATCTCGACAGCTTTCGCAGCATCTGCATCCTGTATATATCTAAGGATTAAATCGATCTCGTGCCTATCTGACTTGCAAGATCACCGCGAGAGCTACATAGATATTACAGAAATTACTTCCGCATCCGCTTTCCTCATAGAAGGAATTATATTTTGATCGTATAACCATTTACACCTGCTTTAAAATGCATTGCTGGTCATTTCACGGTTTCGTGCCAACAAGCGATTAATATCTGCATGCAACATCTAAATCCACAACACTGTATAATTCAAAACATTGATCTTGATTTGTAATTCCTCTATGACTATACAAATCTCTCGCGTTAATTAATAAAAAGTTGAAAATAACTTCTAATTACTGATATAGCTTAAATCATCCGAAGCTTCCTTAGATTTATCAATCAAAATCTATTCATTTTTTTGGATTTGCTAATACATCAGCAAATATAATAAAAGTTGGAATATCCTAACAGTAATAATAACATCCTAATAACAATAAAAAGAAAATCGATGATAGTTTAAATGGTTCGCGTTAACAAATACAAAATAATTAATTAAATTAATCTATTACTATATATACTGAATTCAAATATCGTTTCGCTTGAAGCGTTGAATGCGCGTACGTTTTATTATATAAAAAAAAAAGAAAGGAAAACAAGTTTTCTGTAAAGAAACCGTTCCAATCGGTTTATTAATCGAATTCCTTATTTTCTAATTAAGGAAAAAAGCGCGCACGTTTAGAGATTGACCTTCCGTAAATTAAACTTGTTCGACTGAAACTTTTACGACATCGCAGCAAACCTCAATTAAAAGAGACCTATTTCTCCACTTTCGAATATAAAAGAAACGAAAGATTATATACATATATCAGGGTATTTTTCAAACGATCTTGGCCTCATTCGAATTCAAGGAAGAACCATGAAAAATTTTTACCTACCCGGAGCAATATATTATTTTATTTGTGCGAGAACTCGTTTTCAAGAGAAACCATTTCGATATACGCAAAAATTACATTCAATCAGCAAAATTATATATGTTTAACGCGTACTGAAATGTTTCGTCTTTTAATTTTTTATAATTTGTGCAATAATTTTTATTTTAATTCACGTTTTTGTAGACGCGGGTTCTAAAAAGACGCGAACGATACTGAATTTAAAAAAAAAATATTTTTATACAATTAGAACTATTACGTACAATTTTTAATGCAACGTGATGATTGTATATTATACGTAATACAAGAATTATGTGCGATAAAACTGAAAACCTATCTACAAACTGAATTTTTTTTTGCCTTGAAAATAGTAGCATCGCGCCGGTGGAATTGATTGCAGACAAAACTGCGAATCTAAAAAATTAGTTTATTCGATTAATTCTACCAAATTGAAGTATTAACATCCGTTTGTACAAACTTTTAATCATTACATTGAAAAATTTATTTGATTCAAACAATTGATTACTTGACTATTGTCAAATAAATATTGAAACAAATAATTTTTGAATCAATTACGTTTTATTTGTTTCAAATATACAGAAATTAGTTATTTAAATAACTAAAATTTCTACTAATTCAAAATGAGTACAAAAATATTAACGAACCTTCTACGCAACAATGATTAAAACTACAAAAATTATATTGAAAGCATGACTAAAATATTGCTTCCTAATCTGAAATTTTACCATGAAGCTTATCATGTTTAAATTATCGAATGAAGCTGTAGAAGACAAACTCCAAAAGATTTGAAACAATATGTAACTAAAACTATTACGATTACTTATATTATACACACAGAAAATTATAAGGTATTAAAATAATCTGCAACGCTTATTATTTTAATCCCATTTTGCTTATTTTAATACCAAAATTAAAATTGTTAAATTTAAAAAGCACAAAATTACATTATGCATTTTAAATTTCTCCAAGTGTAACGCAAATTGTAATATCAACGTCAAGTAAATTTTCAAAGTTAGAGTTTCTACTATGTATTTTTAATTTCCATATATAATTTCTTACTCTTTTTATATACAAAATTTCCTTGTTGCATAGAATTCGAGTATTTTTCCCATGCTGTCAAAGAATTATACCAAACTCCCTATAATTTTTTACTTTGTTTTTATTACCCTGTTTTCTCCGTATACGCTATTGAATCAATAGTATTTCTGACAAAGTTATAAAAATTATTGATTCAAAAGCAGAACCTAAATGTTCTGCTTCTATTTTGAAGTCTATAGCATATATATGACAAAATTGAAGAGTAGAAAATTAGTATGATATTTAGAAGCGTTTAAATATACAATTAGAATGACGAGAACACTTTTCACCGATGGAGATGATAGGGGTTTAAGAACCGTAATGAAATTGACAGTATGTGTTAAATAATGACGTGCGCACAACTACAGACATGATATCTATAGCAAGCACGTGCAGAGTAACAGCTTTCCATCTCTCGGCCTTTACACTGACCCACATATTTGAAATAACAGACTACAGCAAGTTCTTATAAAGACCCAGATGGCAAATGATGAAAATTATCAATGACTACTTTAAACTTCAATCTTGAAATTATAATAATCCTTTATTATCATTATTTAGGCAAAAATTACTACTGTCCTTGAAACGCAAAACAGTAATTTCTATATAGAGAAAATAATCTCAAAATAATTATTTAAACCTAATAGCTCAAGCGAGACTTCTCCTTGGAATTTCTGCCTTAGTGGAACAAATTTTTCTTTGATTTTTAATATTTATTTTGTAAATTGCAATTCAAATAACTTTTCAATAAATCGTAATTTTTCAACAATCAATAAAACTGTGTCTGAATTTGATATCACCGAATGAATATCAAATAAATTTCCTATTGAATTAAAATTCAATAAAGTAGAATTGAATCAACTGAAACTTTAAAATGATATCAATAAAAGAAACATATTTCTTTCTACTGAAAAAACTTTCATGAGTATAAAGTTTGATGAAACCTCTGGACTTTCTTACTATAATTTATCATAGAATAATGACCTTGCAGGTCAAAAACCTTAAACTGGGTGGCCTTGTGGATGACAATAATTCCTGGCGCAAGATTTAATATAATGTTGATTAGAAAAAAGAAAGAAGAAAAAAGAAACACATTTGAATTTTAGCCAAGGCCGATCAAGGACGCTTGCGTTCACGAAGATCATTTCGATATATATATATATATTCTCCTTCTGGTTGTTTGCGAATTCATTGGGTACATTACACAACTTGGCAACCAGTCTCTTTGGGATGAAAACACAAGAGAGAAAGGTGAAATTACGTCATCGTAAATAAAGATCGATATAAAGTGGACTCGAAAGCATTTCTCCTCCGTTAAAGAGATTAAGATATTGGATTAGGTCATGATGATTTGGATTTTCGAAAAATATACTCATTTTTAATATTCCATATGTCAATATATATATATGAACTATTTCAGAAACTATCGCGTCTATATAGATACCAAGAGAGAAAGTGTCTCACGTGTCTCAACCTCGAACTTGGTCGTATATTAAATACAAGGAGAGAGAGAAAAAAAAACATATATTTATGTTTTATTAAACTCTCCTTGTACATCATATATTCAATTTTAATTTTATGAGATTTATTATAGAAATTTTTGTTTATTTCGAGATGATGGGAGGGATGATTCCCGTAATAAATAACACAAATTGACAATAATTATTATTATCCGTCATTTGGAAATTTACAAAAGGTGAAAAGCTGTTTTACGACGATGATCGGTAACATTGCCATAAATGTCTATAGTAAATATCTTTATTGTAATTTACACGCTTTACATAATTCCTCGCATGGAAGTCTCATAAGCTTCTAAATAAAATATTTTCTGAATATTATGCAAAAATGTTCGCTGCACATTTTTCAGAAAAACGAAATGATAAATAAAAATTAATAATTAATTAATTCCTATTATGTTTCAAATGAAAATTTTTAAAATTGCTTTTTGAAATCAAAATTCTATATTAAAAATTGCAATTGACATTTAAAGAGGCGAAGCAATTTATTATGTTAGAAGGAATGGAAGTTATTATAATAATAAATTTATCAGATCTAGCAGAGACGTTCTATGCATTCTCAGATTGACTTCCTGTGTAATTAGTCACGGTGGTAACGACTCGCCATTCGGAGTTACGTCCATTCGGCCAATTACCACCCGTTAAAAATGTCGAGGAAATTTTTCTTCTGCCAAGTGCACTCAACACTCTTGGAAAATAAGAAAAATATATCTATCACAAACGAAAGGAAAAATTGAGATCATCTGTCACCACAATAATCAGGGCACTCGAGCGTGTTTTTTTCAAAAAAAAAAAAATCTTGATACAAATTATTTCAATGTTTACTTTCTTTCTCCTCTCATGACAAAGATTACTTCCTTCTGATAAAAAAAAAAAAAAACTTATCAAATATCTCTTCTATAAAAAAAACTCTTTCTACATGACGTTAAAAATTTTATTTTTTAGAAAAAAAATCTGATCTAAATTGACACAGGTATTATTTGATAACGAATATTATCAATTTCGGGATGAATTTTGCGCGAGATTTTTTTTAATAATTCTCCCTCATGATTGCATTTGTTGTTTTACGTAAGTGCGATATAAAAATTACGCAATTGATACATGCAATAAACAAGTGACATCGCTGTTACATAAAACAACTCAATTTACTTGCTGGGCTAAGTACTTCATGTTCTTTCACTAAAAGAAAAAAAGAAAAAAAAAAAAAAAATCCGACGTGATGGAATGTTTTAACTTGAATGTAGGAAAATAAACTAATAGATGGATACTTTCAGTGAAAGTTTATTTAATGAAAATATTCCTTTGCAAAAAGAAATACACACTACTTTTGCATTATTGTCTAGTGTATATAGAAAGCTAGACTGAAAATTGTGATTAAGACGATAATATATTCTTTTTCATTTACAAATAAATATCTATAATATATTTATAATTCTTAATTTTATGAGATAGAAATTTTATTTATTGTTTTTTTTTTTTAATTAAAAATGGAAAATTTATTTAAAAGTGGCTTTCTTTTTTAAAAAATTTGCTTAATTTTCTTCGAAAATGGATATTTATTGATATAGATTTAATTTAATTATCATTTATACAATTCATCACTGAGACTAATGAATTTATAATTATATTCTAATTTATTACCAATATGTAAACTTGCCAATAATTTTATCCTTTTTACAAATTATTTATACATTTTAATTTGATAATATTACAAATCATAACTTTCTAAAATGAATAATTAAAAAAATATATGAAACGTAAAAGATAAACTCAATTGTACAATTGTCCTTGACATTTATCGTTAACTTTGAAAGTATATATATATAGATATATAGAAACATGTTACAAATAAAGAGAGAGAGACATCTCATTATTTTATAAAAGTATAACAAAAAAATTTTAATTTTTAATCCTATTTTGACATTAAAGGAAAGGGATAATTTTTTTTCCAAAAAAAAACCACATAATTTTAAAATAATATTATTTTAAAAATTAATATTGAATAATTATTTTCAAAAATTATTTTTATATTATAAATATTTTATAAAAGAAAATTTTTTTGGCAAGTCTAAAAAAAAAAAGAATTTAATTTTCTTGAGAAGGGAAAAATTTTATAATAAATAATAATAATAATAAAATTATAAATTTACAATTTTATAAAATATTTTTTAAAAAAGAAAATTTTTTTGGCAAGTTTAAAAAGAAGAATTTAATTTTCTTGAGAAGGGAAGAATTTTATAATAAATAATAATAATAATAATAAAATTATAAATTTATAATTTTATAAAATATTTTTTAAAAAAGAAAATTTTTTTGGCAAGTCTAAGAAAAAGGAATTTAATTTTATTGAGAAGGGAAAAATTTTGCAATCTTCATTTATTGTCAAAAGATATATGAGTGCGGAAAAATAAAATAAATAAAAAAAAAAAGCAATATAAATGTTGAGTCGGTAATAATAGAGTGAAGTTTAAATTTTAGATTGCACGAAAGAATGTGTAATAAAGCGATTACGATTTATAGGCATTGGTTTAGTGTTGCACAAAGTGCGCTATTTTCTATCGCGCAATGTAAGTTTCATAGCGTCTATATATATATATGAAGTTCCGCGCAACGGTTTATGTAATTTGTCCTGATCTGAGATTTAATGTTGGATTGAAATTTTTATTTATTCATCTACATATAACGTTCATCGATTCGCGATCGTTAAATAGCACTACTACCCTATCGCCAGATCCACTTTCCCCTTGGCCCGTTTAGTCGACTTTCTTCCTTTGCAAAAGCGTATATATATATTCTCGCACTCTCAAATATCCCACAAGAATTTATTTATACATTCACTCTAAAATTCATTCACTCGCGAATCTAGATCAAAAATTTAGATTTCTATATCTCGATCCAATTAGATTGTACAAAAAACAATCAACTTTGAAGATATTGAAAAAAACGAAACACATCCAAAAATGAAATGTATAGAAAAAAATACCTTTTTAAATCAAAATAAAATAAAATTAAATAAATTAAATTGTTTAAAAACTTACCGAAACTGGTGGAAAGAGATGGAAGACTGACTCCAATTGATCTCAATGATTGATTGATTGCCAGATGTGCAGGAAAGATGATACGATGAAAATTGACTGATTCACTCTGAAAATTCTTCTTCAATATCCTGTGAAAAAATAGAATTTATAAATAAAATTTATAATTAAAAAAAAGTCGTAGTCAATTATTCTATATATTTCCATATTTTGTTTTCAGATAAAAATATTTCTTAATTTTTCCAATGTCAGGGTTATTTTCTTTTATGATTTCGTAATTTCGTAAAGATTGGTAAAAAAAAATTATATATACTGTCAATAACTGAGAAGTATGTTTGTAAACAAACAACATGATGAAAAAAAAAAAAGATGAGAGAGAAATTTATTAATTGGAGCTGATGTACAGGAAATGGTTCAACAGAAACATTGCCGGGGGGAAGGACGCCAAATCTGGGCCACAATGTACACTCTCGCTTTCGAAATAATAATTATTTAATTCCCAAAGCGGAATGGAACTTTGCCTTGAAGTGAAATGTGGTCCTCCCGCTGAGCTGGCCAAACAGCTTCTTTCTTCATATAAATATATGTATATACTTGTTATTTTCGATATATATTCTTTTTTTTTTTTTTTTTTTCTGTGAAGCCACTTTCGTCTCCAATTGATTTGAGTACACGCGGGATGACTACGCAGAAATTACGTCAAAAAAGTTTCTTTCTCAAATAATCGTGACATTCATGTCAATGAAAAGAGGCAATATGATATTATTTTCGCACCTGGATAACCACAAGGTGATTTCTACTTGGCCACTTATCTGGACCAATTTCAAACCAAACAGAAATTTGTTGTTTTTTTTTTTTTTTTAATTTAAACTCGCATCATATTTTTTGTTTCTTTTTTTTTACGAAATTTCTTGAATTTAATATTGTTGTTTTCGTATTATTTTACCGTTACTCTTCTTTTTAACCGTTAAATGCAATTTTTGATTTACACAATTGTTTTTTAATTTATAATATTGATGAAAATTTTGTTAATTTAAAAAACGATTATTTAAAAAATAAAGCTTTGTTAAAAAAAATATTTTTAAATTGAATCTCGTTTGAACAAGTAACCAAAGAAAATACTCAAAAGAAAAAAATAGAAAAATAAGACAAAAAAAAATATTCAAAACTTAATTTTCAACATTTAAAAAAAAAAAAAAAAAAAATTTCGAATTTCGAAAGTTGGTTTACATTTTAAGTGCATTTCAACTTTAACGAAAGTGTTTTCAAGAATGAATACTTTCAAATTTTAACGATTTTATTGTACAACCACTTTCCTTTTTAAAATGTTTTAATGTTTTTCAGTTTACTTTTTCTTTCGTTTTCATTTTGCATTTCTAATTGGCTATTGTAATTATTCATTATTATTATTAATACAGAATCAATCGCGAGATGAATTCAAAATAAAGCGCATATTTTTCAAATGAACTTTAAAACAATTATTTAATTAATTCATATATATTTATGGCGAGAAAAAAAGAAAAGGGGTAAATTTTCAAATTTTAATAAGTAGAATAAAAGCATTGCAAATGAGAAAAAGACTGCGAAAGAATCTGAAGAAAGGCTTTCAATTTGAATTTCCATTTTTGGAGAACATCCAATGTAAAAATCTTGAGTAAAATAATTTGCAATAGTGTGGCGAATTTGAAAGAAATTTGTAATTCACCTCACGTTAAAGCACGTGCACTTTTATTGAAATATTTCGTTGACGCAGTGTTAAGTAAAAATGCTATTCTTTGCCATTTCTCTAATTTACAGTCAAGGAACTTAGCCTTGAAACGAAAATTGAATACAATTTGTGTACAAATCAGAGATTAATATATATAAAAAATGATAATAAGATTATAATAATAATTATTCTTATATAATTGTAAAATAATTATTTTTTCTAATTCAGAGAAATTTCGAACAAGGGGAGAAAAAGTCAAAAATTAATTATATACTTTTTAATTGTAAATGGTAATGTAAAACCGAGACATTAACGATATTCAGGTTACGTTAAGTAAATCGATTACCTTTAACGTTTTATATATATATATGCAATAATATATTCACAATGTCGCGAATCGTAGATGACATAATATATAAATATATAAAAGTAAACCTCGAGCACGTTGGACTTTAAGTGACATAATAGAGGCCGTTGCCATTGCATAAGTTTGCAGAGAGAACAGTTTATACTATTAGAATATTCTAGCCATATATCCAAAAGTCCAAAAGACTCATCATGTTGCCAATTTAGTGTTTTGATTACATGATTTGTCAAATTATTTTTGTATAAATTCATTTTTTAAAAAAATAGGAAATTTCCAATTCAATTTTTACCGAAACAAAATTTCATCAAATTAAGATAATTAAATTAAAATAATTTTAGAAAAAAGCTACTAAACATTTTTTTTTTTTAATAATCGAAAAAATGGAAATCATAAATTTTGTTAAAAAACTTACCAAAAATATGTAGAAGAAGAAGGAAGATTGACTGCTCAATGGTTGCGATTGAATGAGCCCCATGAAAATTCGCTGATTTTCTTTGTAACCTCTTCATTTTCATGTGAAAAAAACAAAAAATTATGTAAATTTATTATAGTAAATAAAAATCTATCTAAAAAAAATCCTGAAAGTTAAAAAGTTTCAAACAAATTAAAATTGAATTAATTTTCTCCAAGCAAATTAAATAATTAAATTTATTACACCTAGATTAATAATTAAAATCTTTGATTTTATCCAATAGAGAAAAAATAAGAACAAAATTAAAAACTACAGATTCAGATAGAAACACTGGAAAAGACATAACCTACAATTTCACAACATATAAAAATGTAGCAAAAAAAATTTTTACCCCTTTTTTCTTACTCTCAGGTTAATTAAAAATGTTGAAAAGAGGCTCTTAAATACCTTTTTTCTCCATCCGATTATTATATTACCTATTTGAAATTTATGGAAAAAAAAAGAAAATATTTTTCATTATACTTACGAGCAATATTGTCCCACGGAGGATGATGAAGGCTTTATAATTTGACCCCAGGAAATATCCTTTCAAGACCAAGGATAGAAAAGCCCATCAAGAATAGATGTCAACTCATCTTTTTCATAATCGCATCACTGATCACCCAACAATAAGCTGAAGAAACAACAATTACTGTTTATTGTTCTGCTACCCCCTGCGGTTTGACCGACGCCATATTCCAAGATGGCGTCGTTTTAGGGATTAGCGACCTCTATTCGATTTTTGCAACATTTTTGCAATAAAAATGATATTTCGATATATTTCTACTTGAAATATTAAAATACTTTTCGAAAAACAAAATTTTAAATCAGTTTTATAATAATTTGACCACTTTTGTCCCTTAAATATGCAATAATGAAATGGTTGAAAAATTCTCGGGGGTAAAAGGCGAAATAAAGATAATATTTTGGCATTTATTGGGCATATTTTAAAACAATTTTTAGGAAATATCATGCCCTTTAGTCTAGGAAATAGTTATAATATGAAAATTTATATAAAAAATCAAATATATTTACCTTTTTGGAGGTGAAATATGGGGAAGTTGAAGAAAAACGACATCCTTGTGCAAATTCTTCATCGAAAGTGATGAGGGAGCGGGCTTCTGTGCTCTGATTGGCTGCAATTTTCAATATTTGATTCTGATTGGTGGACAATGTTACATTCGAATTTGCAGTTAATAATATTTTTTAACATGTTTTAAAATACAATTACTCTATTATTACTTTATTTTTATAATAGAATTGCATTTTTATGTCTTTTTATAATAGCTGAGGCATTGCCAATTATGGTTTTTAACTTTAATATTTAATTAAAAACATTTATTTATATTTTATAAAATTGTTATCTTGACTAATGATGTAACATTTGATTTACTTCCGGTCTGCGCAAAATAAATGAAAATGAACGATTTTTGCGCAGACATTTTGTAAACAATGGAAAAGTCAGGATAACTAATATTTATAATAATAATTAGTGTTATTTTTTATTTACCTATGACTTATTAAGTGAATAATAGTTGTTTTCCTTAATTTTGTGGTTAACAAATAAAAATTTCATGATGGAGATGACACTTAAATTCGGTCATCCTTTTAAAAAACAACAAATTGAAGTAACCTCAAAAAAGGTATTTATTTTCTTTTTTAAAAATTGTTTAAATTTTTATTTTATTGCTGTGTATTATTATTTCAAAACATAAACTTGTTTTGATGAAATGAAATAATCCAATATATGAGCTTTGAAAGTTTTTATGGAATTTTCATTAAATTTTGTATGACACAACAAAACGAATACAGACACCCAAAAAAAACATATATACATAATATATAATAAACGAATAAAATTAAATATAGAAATTTTATTTTTGTGTCACTTGAACTTCGTCTTCTCTGGTGTGTTCCGCGTTATAAAATATTTTACAACCATACTTTTCTTCCAGTGCATACAAATAGTAAAATTATGATAATACAACGTGCAGAAAATTTTCGGTACAATGCCTCGTGCTTAGGATAATAAAAACTTTATATAAACTTCATTCTTTATTTATTATATAATTAAATTTATAAAAATATAATTTATACATATATACAAAAAAGGAGAAAAAGAAATTTTTCAGAATAATTAAAATTATTGTTTAAAAGTAATTAAACAATCTTTTATAATTATTTATTTATTTTAAAATAAATTATAAGCTTTTTTCTTTTTTTTTTTGTAGAATGAGGAGGAGCGGTGCGAGAAAACATGGAGGCGCCAAGGGAGAAGGAGCATTGGTATTGCTCCTTGTCGCATTGGCTCCTATTCTCTGCTCCGCTGGAATCCTGGACCCTTGGCAATGGGCACGCAGTGATCGAATTGAAGTCAACATCCCATGGCTACCCTGTAATTATCTTAGATCCATTTTTAAAAAAAGAGTCTAATTTATAATTAAAGTCAAAATCTCAATTTTTTTTCTTTTTTTTTCAATTATTAATTTGATGAGTAGACGAATTCCAGTTTCCCAGAATAGACTCTTGACTACACGACTTTCTTTTATCGTACCACGTGTCTTTTATAACTTATTGCAGTTTTCACCTTTCTTATCGACATCGCTTATAGCAAACGATACAAGAAAACCTTTTAGTAAAGGTTACTAAATACATGACTTTCTTATCTTTTTCTTCTCATATGTCACCGGAAAACGAATTTACTTTGTTGGCATAGGAAAATTGAGTTAGACACGTTTTTTTAAGACTATAATTTACATCGATTCTTAAGAATCTGTTATTGTCTTTTAAACAAAATCAGTTTTACTGATTGTTTTATTATTTATTGTAATTAAATTATATATGTAATAAAAAGGAAATTAGTTACGAAATAATAATATATTTTTCTAAAAACAATTATATCTTTGTCAAAAGGGAAACAAATATTTTACTGATAAAAATTAATGTCTTTTATTGTAAAATACACAGCAATGTTTTATTAGTTGATGCAATTGTTTGAATGGCCGCGATTTAAGTGAAATTTAAAAAATACATATGGAATAAAGTATAGAACATATAATAATTTATTATAAATATATGTATATAATTTACAGGTTCACTGCGTTTTTATTAAAAAAATATAGTATTTTCAATAATTTCACAAGATTTTATGTAATTCCATATATATACATATACTGAGGAAATCATATTCATAATTAATTATATATATTTATATGAATAAAATATAAATTGTAGAAAGTAGAGCATATCACAAAAGTATTCCTTTTTCGAAAAAAAAGGGAAACAATTTACACACGAATGTGTCTAAAGATAAAAAAAAGTCTCGTGTTTCTATAATCGTATACAGCTTCCTCATTGTTGCCTGATTTGAAAACTGTTACGATGCGTGTGCAATTCTCATTTTTTAGTCACGATTTGAACAGTCAAGCGTAAAAATAAAAATAAATAATTTCGATAATACAAATTATTATTTAAGTTATTAATTTAGAAATTAAATGATTTGAAATTTTATTTTTCAGTTGAAAATGAAACACGCTGTTATGGTGAGCTGGGATGTCTAAACATCACAAGAAGTTGGTATCATCTCATTCATCGACCTCTTAATGTATTTCCTTTGCCTCGAGAGGTCATTAACACAAGGTTCATACTTTACACCAATGAAAATCCTACCGAAGTATGTTTTTTTAATAGTTGAATAATTAAATTAATACAGTATTCTAATAATTTAATTAATAATAATAATAATTAATAATAATTTAATACAATAATTTTTTTTTTATCAGGGCCAAGTTTTAATAGCAAGTAAGGATAAGTCAATAAAACGATCGAACTTTGATGCAGAGAGGAAAACAAAATTGATCATACACGGTTTTATAGACACGCCACTCAGCAATTGGGTGAAGGTGAGACATTAGTTGTTTTTTTTTATTACATCCGTTTTATAGCTATCAATCTAGCAAAAGCCGATCTTTTTATATTTATCATTATATTGTTTTTATCTTTTATATAACTTATTTTGAAATGAATTTGAATTTTAAAAAAATATTTCTTTTTCAACTTTTGCAAACTAATTTTAATAATAGCTAATTAGAGACTAATTTTTTTTTAATCGTGAAAGTAATAAAGTGACTGTTAAGAAATCCTCAGAAAAATTTTCTGTATATATATATAATTTAGACTGTAGGGAAAATTAATACCAAGATTAATAATTGAACACTGCAAATGAGACTGATGGTTAATTATTAACACTTAATAATAGAACAAACTGGTAATTTGTGTAAATTATCTTCCTCGGAACTACGAAGACAGTATCACGAGTCATATCATACTTTTATATCTGCACAATGTAGACGGAAGAAGAAGTCTCTATTAAATTGCCGAGTGTGTTAGAGATCGACGTTAGATGAGATAGATTTTAATCGACATTGTATATATGCATGCATAATGAAAGTAATAATAATAATAATAATAAAAATAATAATAGAAAATTAAAAAACTGTAAAACGTGATTTCCGATGTCTAATTTTTTTATTTTCTTCATCGCAGGAGATGAGAAATGAGCTACTCAAGCATGGTGATTACAACGTCATCATTGTCGATTGGGCCGGTGGTAGTCTTCCTCTTTACACTCAAGCCACGGCAAATACAAGACTCGTTGGTCTCGAAATTGCAAATCTCATCAAACACCTTCAGGTCGGTTTTTTCTTTTCTCTTTTTTTAAAAAAAATAATAAAATATATAATTAAAATTTAATATTAGAAATGGCAGCGATTTTTATTCTGAAAAATAGATTTTATTTTTCAAAACTGAATAAAACCTGAAGAAGACAAAAAAATGATTAGAAAATCGTAAAAAAAGTTAAATTTTTAAATTAATCAATAAAATTTAATCTGGAAATTTTTTATTTAAATAATTAAGGTATGAAAAAATGTAAATATTATTTTTGTAGGTAAACTACGGTCTAGATATGAGTAATGTTCATATAATTGGCCACAGTCTCGGAGCACACACGGCTGGATATGCAGGTGAAAAATTAGAAGGAGCAATTGGCAGAATAACTGGTCTCGATCCAGCAGAACCATATTTTCAAGGGATGCCAAATCATTTACGTTTGGATTACACTGACGCTCAATTAGTCGACGTTATTCACACTGATGGGAAGAGTATTCTCTTCTTAGGTATGTTAAATTATAAACAAATCGAAGAATTGGTTTTTCTTTTTCCTATAAACGTTTTTTACAGAAGTTGAAAGATGATGAAAGCTTCTTCTAGAATATAATTTCTATATTATAAATATGAAAAAAAATATTTCACTGGGTATCTTTGAGTCGATCCTAGGATAACTATAGCCACTATAAGGATTTCCAGGGTACGGGATGAGCCAACCGTGCGGTCATTTGGACTTCTATCCAAATAATGGAAAGGAACAACCTGGCTGTACAGATCTTAGTGAGACAACACCTTCATTACCATTGACATTGATTCGTGAGGGTCTAGAGGAGGCGTCACGTGTTCTAGTGGCTTGCAATCATGTACGAGCGATAAAACTCTTTATTGAGAGCATCAATTCAAAGTGTCAGTATGTTGCACACGAGTGTGGTAGTTATTCGAGTTTTCTTAAGGGTGAATGCTTTTCTTGTAAGAGCAAAAATAGTTTGAGTTGCGGTGTTATGGGATATCACGCTGATACAAGTCCTGCATTAGTTAAACGTCAGGCAATGGGTCAGGATGTCTCGTCCTTATTGGGATCTAAATTCTTCTTCAGTACTGGAAAAGAAGATCCTTATTGTAGTGAGTTCTTTATTAATAATCATTTTATTAGATATTTTATATTTAATTAATATTAAATTAATAATTGAAATAATTTTTTCTAGGAAGACATTATAGGATAACTATAAATCTAGCTAGGCCACCAACTGCCGAGAGTTGGGTTCAGGGTTTCATAAAAGTTACTTTTCACGCTGAGAATGGGATCATTCGAAATATTGATCTTACTCCTAGGTAGTATTCAAATTAATTTTTATAATTAAATCATTTTTCCAGTAAATAATTAAATTTACGAATTGTGTTAAAATAAAAATCTCTTGCAGTGGTTACATGAAATTGGAACATGGTACATCAACTCGAATGGTGGTGGCCCATCCTGGAGGAGCAATTGGTGAAATAGGCAAAATTCGACGAGTTGAACTATCATGGGCTTATGACATGGATGTCTTACAACCTCGTTCTCTTTGTTTCTTTTGGTGCAATGATCATTTATACGTTAATAGCATCCTCGTCGACATCATGGAACTTCCGGGAAGAGGGTATGTTTATAAATAAAAATAAGAGTACAAAAATAATTACTAATAAATTAATTAAGAGTAATTATTTTTGAAATAATTCGTTTGTCTTAATTCAAATGAATAGACATTTACAAAAAAATAACAAATTTGAATACTTACAGGAAAAGGGAAACGGATTTCTCCAGCAGATTGTGTTCTACAAGTAAACGTGACTATGCGGAAATAGCGAGTGGGTCAACTGCCTCTTTTGTCGACAATTGCTGACGAATTATGCATTCGTGGACAATTTCAAACTGTGCAGTGATCTCAAACTCTTTAGACTAATCGCCTTTCAAAATCGGAATCACTTATTAGCCAAAGTACTTTTAAAAAAAAGAATTCAAAAGAATTTAAGTTTTAAATAAAAAATATCAATGTGATTTAAAAAATAATTTTTTTTTGGCTGATTCAACGAAATTTAGAACTCAAACGTGTAAAAAAAAATACGTGTTCACCAGTATTAGTAAGATACGAATTGTAAATTTTGTAAATAGGTCTAATTGTAAATGTTAGGCTATAATAGATTATAATTTCTAATCTATTCGTAAGATAATTCACCTTAGTAGTCATTGCCAAAAGTTAATTCTCAAAATCAAAAAAAAATTTGATAAAAAAATATTTTTTATTTAATTAAATGTTTAAATATTTTTTTATTCACAAAAATGAAAAATATTCTTAAATTATTATTTTTTGGAAATACTACTCTAGGTAAATTGTCTTTAACAGACATCAAGTCTGATTCACGCGGCCATATTTGTCATTAAGAAAATGCTAATTAGTCGAAAAAAGTCCAGTGTGAAAAAAACTCTTAAATCTAAGTTTTTATAAAAATACTTTTTTTTTAATATTTCCACTTATTTTTAACCCAGTGCTTAAGAATTAGCCTTTTGTGATTTATATTTACTAGATTAGAATTCTGAAAAAAAAAATTCAGAAATAGTCTGTTAAGAATGAAAAATCAAAGTTAAGCCTGATTTTTTAGAAGTAGTTTTCAATTCTTCTAAGATTTTGCAAAGGGAAAAAAATGCTTCTAACTATTGGAAAATATATAAATGTAAAATAGTAATTTCTATGTATTTGTTAATGAAAAACATTTGAATATATAATAATATTTAAACACATTTTAAAAGAAAAAAAATTGTAGTTAAAAATAGATGACAGCGAGATAAGTATACTTAAATTGGAAGAAATTGAATACTTCTAATCTGATACATTTTTTTTTAATACTTTTATAACTAGCGTTACTGGAACGAGTATTTTGTCCTCCTTTTTTTTCCATATAAATCATTCGTAACAGTTGTTAAACTCTTAAGAATATATATTTCTACAATTACTCAAAACAGAAAATGTACTAATACAAAATATGTAATAGTAAAACTATTTTTCATTCTGTAACATTTTTAATTATAATGCGAAACATGTGATTCAGCCCAATAAATAATAGGCTCCGATTAAATATCTGTTATTTTTTTCTTCACTGAAAATCTTAATAATAAATTATCTAAATGTTGAATTGTAATCAATTACAATCTTCATATCTCAGGAACTTTTTACATTAAAAACAAAAATATTTTCCTTAAAATCAAAATAAAATGGAATATAAATAATAATAACGAAATACAATTGAAATAATAAAACATGTAATTTAAAATATGTTACATAATACAATTTAATGAATTCATTACATTCAATCTAATTCATTAAAATTAATTAAAATGCATTTAATAATATATATGTATAATTTGACAGTTTTAATAATATAATTTCAAATAAAATTTCACAAACTAAAAAAAATTTAACGAAAAATGACAAAAATTCGTTATCTAATTTACAATACATATTTCAAAAATTTAATTTTTATGCATAATTCGGAGAATACAAATTTATTGTATTCAAAATTAATAATTAATACGCTGATAAATTGCCATAAATTCAAAATTAAACATAAAATATATAAATAATGTATAAAAAAAAGTTCCTAAGACACGTTATTTATATATACATAAATCCTAGAAAAATACGACTAGTATTTTCAATTATAGAAAATAATTATGAAAAATTGAGAAAATTATATTCCCATTATGGATAAGGAATAGGAATAGAAAAAAAAATTTTTTTTTTTTTTTTAAATGAAATAAGACCGTGAATTAGCTTGCTAAACCTTTTCACAGTGTTTACTTCACAATAAAACGTCGTACACGTTGTTTCATCCATCCATACAAAAAAGACCTTTCTTGGTGCAGCCTATACACGGTAACATATCGTTTTATCTTACACATGAGATTCAACAACGATCGAGTAAAAAAGCCGTCCGCGATTAACACGCGGTAACAAGGGAAGTTAAAATATACAATACATTGTTATTGCGATATAGCTATTATAATCTAATAATCTCTAGATTCATAACGTAGAATCTCTTTATATATAATATATATTTTATAAATAATAAATAGGAAGTGTCAAAGGAAACGATGTTAATAGCACAATATTGTGTCTATACACATTAAATTTGCAAAAAAAAAAAAAAATTTGTCTTTAGAGAGAAAGATAGGCTTTTTAAAGAGATATATATATGTAAGTGACAAGTTAATTATAAACGAATGTGTCAATTATTTAAAAAATAATAATAAGTAATAGTAATTATTAAAAATTATAATAATATTTAATGATAATATTTTTATTATCAGCTTGATTGATTTGGCATTGTTGTCTAGAACATTCTAGCGGTGGCGCAGTGGTCAGTGCAGATCATCTACCCAAGCAGTTTCTAACGTTTCGATCATTGAACGAACAAAGGCCATCTCCTTTCGTGCATTCTCCAAAATTACCCGCGGATCCTGTGACGTGCATCGCAAAATATTTGGCGCCATCACCATTGCCAAATTATTCGCGTCCATTTTTGTTCGTGCCACCACTTCCGATCGTGCGAAAATCTGCAATAATCCATCAATTTTTTAAATTTTCAAATAAATTATTTAATTAATAATAAATAAAATTATTATATACCTGAAGAAAATGCACGAGATGACACAAAACACGACGATTAAGATCGGGAAGTCGCTCGACAACGCCAGCTATATTAGCGGCAGAAATTTCAGGATCATCGTGACGCATTGAGACACATTCGGGATAAAATGAATCGGGTATAAGTGGCTCGTAAAGTTCACGAACCCATAATTTTAAAAGTGATGCAGGCGCATGTGCATCCTGGGAAGCTGCCAATATTGCACCGTCTTCAAATCGATCAAGACACGATTTCAATGCGCTCACTTCATCGGCATCGGCTGACACACGAAAGATTCCCTCCGTCACTGTACCACCACGAACTAAAACCTGTCGCGTCAATGTTGTCTGAACCCATGGTAAATCTCGTTGTGGAAAACGATCTCTCTGCAGGGCCATCACTTCCGATAGAGTCGCACCAAACATAGAGGCTCGGAATATTTGCAACTGTAATAAATATAGAATTCAATTAATACGAAAAAAGTTAAAAATAGACGTAAAAATTTATAATCAACTCACTCTAGCCTGATCAATGTCCTCGATGGTGGCTTTTCGCGGTTGTCGTTTACCATGCGCTCCTATTCGTTGAAGACGTCGACAAGCGACAGTCGCATAGTGACTAACTTGCACGTGAATTGGCCATTTTGCAACTTCGGGAAATTGAAAATTTGGATCACGATGTCTATTCATATAGCCCTCGAGATATGGTTCAAATGTTGCACTAGGTGGAACAAATGCAAGACAAACGGCCATTAATTCCCAACCTCTACGTAAACTTTCTTTACGTGGATTTTCTGTGGTTTGGCGGCATATTTGCACATAGAGTTCATCGCGCAATGGTGGCTTTGAAAATGCCGTATTCACAATATCCATTGCAACACCATCCAATGTCATGCCAACATTTGCCTTACGATCACCCATATAAACTTGTACCAAACGAAATAAATTGCAGGCCTCGCGTTTCAATAATTTCTCACCGTCAACGACGACCAGCATCGGTTGTGGTATTGGATCCTTTGACCAACTTAAAATATCCCGAACGCTGAATTTCTTTCTAAACAATAATCTCAAACCTTTTGGTCGTCCACAATTTAAATTCAAATTATCCTGAGCATATTTCTCAATATCACCACCGCTTGTATTGTCATCACGTCGCGCCTCATCATAATCGGTTGTATCAAAATTTCTCCCCGAAATCACCACTGGATTTGGTAGAGATATTGGTCTTGGTGTTATTGTTTCACGTGCCTCGGATTGAGTGACATTTGTCGGTGGTGGCGGTGGTGGTGCCATGGGAGCCGTTACCTGAGGCCTCGTTAACGTGTCAGCTGTATTGTAATAAGTCGCTAGGCCCGCTGTATCATAATTCGCAAGATCTAAAAAAAATAATTTAATATTAACTAGCAATATTAAATGCGCGCAAGCGCGCCAAATTGACTGTTTCATTATTTGTTATAGAGAAATTAAAAATTAATATTATCAATAATTATTTAAATTTAGTAGAATATTATTCCATATTAAATGATAAAAATAAAAATTATATGTTTATAGGCCTCAGATTATTAATTATTAAATTATTAAATTTTAAATTCAAAGTCTTTTAAAATTCAATTATTTTCCAAATTTTCAATTTAAAATCAAATGAAATTCAATTATTACCAAAAATTTTCCATTCAAAATCAACTAAAATTCACTTATTTTCCAAATTTTCAATTTAAATTCAAATAAAATAAAATTATTTTCTAAAATTTCATTTCAAAATTAATTATCAAAAATCAACTAAAATTGAATTATTATTTAAAATTGTAATTGAAATTTAATTATTTTCCAAAATTTCAATTCAAAATCCAAGACAATTCAATTATTTTCCAAATTTTTAATTCAAAATCTTTTAAAATTCAATTATTTTCCAAATTTTCAATTTAAAATCACATAAAATTCAATTATTATCCGAAATTTTAATTTAAAATCAACTAAAATTCAAATATTTTCCAAATTTTTCTATTGAAAATTAACAAAAATTCAATTATTTAATTATTTTCCAAAATTTCAATTCCAAAATTAACTAAAATTCAATTATTTCCCAAAATTTCAATTCAAAATCAAAAAAAATTCAATTACTTTCCAAATTTTTAATTCAAAATCTTTTAAAATTCAATTATTTTCCTAGTTTTCAATTTAAAATGAAATAAAATTCTTCAATTATTTTCTAAAATTTCTATTCAAAATTAATTATCCAAATTTTTAATAAAAAATGAACTTAAATTAAATTATTATTCAAAATTTCAATTAAAATTCAATTATTTCCCAAAATTTCAATTCAAAATCAAAGAAAATTCAATTATTTTCAAAATTTTCAATTCAAAATCAACTAAAATTCAATTATTTTCTAAATTTAAAATCAAATAAAATTTAATTATTTTCTAAAATTTCATTTCAAAATTAATTATCAAAAATCAACTAAAATTGAATTATTATTTAAAATTGTAATTGAAATTTAATTATTTTCCAAAATTTCAATTCAAAATTAATTATCAAAATTTTCAATAAAAAATCAACTAAAAATGAATTATTATCCAAAATTTTAATTGAAATTTAATTATTTTCCGAAATTTCAAATCAAAATTAAAGAAAATTTAATTATTCTAAAAAATTTGAATGCAAAATTAATTGAATTTTCAATAATTTGAATTTAAAAGCATTTAAAATTTAATTATTTCTAAAATTTTCCATCGAAATTTTTTTTTTTTTAAATTTAATAATTTCAATTATAACTCTAAGGGAATTCAATTATTTTTATAATATTCTTTGAAAATTCAACTATCTGAAACCATTTTTCAATTAAAAAATGATTATCAAATTATTGTATTTTGTCTGTAATTTCTAATAAATTTTTTAGTGAAAACATATAAAATTTTAATTAAAATCACTTGAAGTTCAATTAATTTCTAAAATCTCAATTTTAAATCTTTTGAAAATTCAATTAAATTTAAAAAATGTTTTCCAAAAAATTTTTTGATAAATTATTTTTAGTTCTGTAAAATTTTATTATTGTTTGAAAATTAACAATATCTTTTGAAATTTAATTATTTCTAAAATTTTCAAGTTTAATTTGACACAAATTTGACACGTTATAAGATTACTATTCAAGAAACACGTGAAATCATAAAAGACCAACTTCAAGTTAGGACAGAAGGACAGACCAAGCATTTTATTATTATATAATTTTTCTAAATTTTTTATTTTTCAAAAACAATTTTCATACCTGCATAGTGATCTTCGAGATATTCTTGACTCGATGAATCTCCTTGATTGCTGGCGGCTTCATCGTCCGCGAATTGATCATCTGAATCGTCATCACCTCTCCCTCGGAGTTCACTTGCTCTGCCACCTTCTTCGTCTAAAGAATCATCGCCCTCTTCTGCCAATAAAGGATCTCCAAATTTGTAACAACCTGAAACAATTAATAATAATGTAAAAACAATTATTGGAAAAATAAAAAAAAATTTGAAAAATAAAATACCAGAAAGTTTCGCCTGTTGGAGAATGTAATGTTGGAGAGGTAGCAAATGATCGGCGTCAACAAGAAGATTTCCATAATAGGGTGATGGTGGTGGACTTGGATTTCCGTTGCTTCTTTTCTTCTTCCCGTTATCAGCTTCCGTTTGCGCTTCCGGCTCATCTTCAACAGCACTGTTACTACTACTGTGACTACTATTACTACTGCTTGTATTACTGCAAAGTCGTTGACGCGAAGGATCATGAGTTTGTCCAACCAAATATCGTTCGTGCATAGAATCATCATCCTTTTCATGTCTTCGACTCTGCTGCTGTTGCTGCTGTTGTTGTTGTTGTTGCTGTTGCTGTAATTTTTGCTGCTGCTTCTGCTGTTGCACAAAACTATAACTACGAGCCAAAGGCTGCTGTACACTAGAATCTATTGAATTATTGCACGCCGTAGTTCTTCGATAATCCCTTTCTCTCTCACGTTCCGAAACTTCCAAACTTCTCTGTTTCGATACATTCCCTAAAACGGTCGTACCTGAAATTTTAATAATTATTTAAAATTATTATCTACAATTATTATTTACAATTATTATTTAATCAAATAGAGTATTAAAATAAGGATTCACACCTCTCGCTAAACTTTTCGATGGCTCGTTCCTGTCGGTGGATATGGATCCATACATTTCACGGACATTTGCCTCGGAAAGAGAAGCTGAACATCCATGATGTCGCCTACCAATACTACCAGTGGTTTCCGGTTTACTGATATTTCTTGAATGACCCGAACTTGGATAAAATGCAGGTGCATTCGATTTATCGAAACTATTGACTCGCTCCCGGTGAAGTGATTCACGTTCTCTATCACGAAAACGACTACCAGTTTCAATAAGGGAACCATATTTTTCCGTCTGCGGTTTATGGCTGTAACACGCTTGAATTTCTGGTGGACGATACGGTGCCATTTCCTGTCTAAATCCACGACATTCCATAACTGTTTCTCGATACGGCGATGTACTTGGCTCGGGTCCATATGAACTTCTACTACTTTCTCTACCTGGAATTTCAATAAAAAAAATTTTCTTTATCTTCAATCAATATTTTTAAATATTATATTATTTAAATATTCTCACCATTTTTACTCTTGTCTAAATCTAAATTTCCAGCTCGTGACTGTGGTTCAGTGAATGTTTTCTTTTTAAAAAGTGGAGTACTTGTCGATAATGACAATCCAATTGGTTGTGAATCAACAGTGGAGAGGATTTTTTGATTTTTTACACCCTCTAATGTTCCACTTTTGTGAGATCTAATTTCTAAGCTACCGCTAGGCTGTCTGGACGAAGATTGTGAGGAAATAATTTGTTGTTGCGCTACGGTTCGTTGTTGATGTCGATGAGGTGAATCTAAAAGTCTATAACCAGTCGATTCTAATGATGTTCGACTATGAGACACCGAACTATCGCTTGATCGTCCGGAATCTTGAGAATGATTATGATGTCGTCGTGTCGTTGGTTGCTCATGATGCCTATGATGATGTCTACTATTATGATGATGATGGTGATGATGTCGTCTTGAGGACGGCGAAGGTGATGGTGGTGACGTTCTAAGATCGATTCCAGCTCCGGTACTCAAACCAATGGGCTTATTTATTTGCTTAAAAAAAAGAAAGAAAAACTTTAATTAAAAATAACAAAAAAAAAAATTAATTAAAAATAAAAAATTAATTTAATTATTCTAATTAAAAAAAAAAATATTCAATTTGATTTAATTGAAAATACCATATTAGCTGCCAAATTAGGTGCTTCATGATGATTAAAACGTCCTGTTCGACCAACAATCGGGGTTTGAGTTTGCGTTGAAACGGATTCCTTCTTTCTTGAGTCATTTTGCTTCTGAGAATTAGTCGTTCCTTCGCCACCTGCTGGTTCTGTGTTCTGCTTCAATGTCTATAAAAAAGATGAATCATATTCAGAAAGCCGAAATTCATTTTTTAAATTAACCATCAATTTTGAAAATTCACAAAAAATATTTTTTTTCAGTAAAAAATTAAATTTACAAAACTGAAAATAAAAATGATAGATATCTACGAAAATTAAAATAAATACTTGAAAAAAAATATCAAATACGTAAAAAAATGATGCGGAAAGAATAAATTTCTAAGATATAACAACGGCAATTCGTAGCGATTAACATTGTCATATATATACACGAATGTGGTAATTGACCTGATTAATAATTGTCTCAATTTGTAATAATTAACTCGGTTAATTTCGAAATTTCAGAAAGTTCATTTCGGAGGCAGCTGCATTTTTATCGTACATATAAATGTGAAACGATATATATGTATATAGAAGCATTTTCAAATTGGGACGAAGGACAAGGTTTTAACGATCCTCACTGCACTCCCTCGCCAATACTTTTACCTATAGAACACTCCAAAGTCATAAAGTAAAACGTCCGCTCTGAGAAAATATTACCACTTAGTTTTTCCGCTTTGACAAAAGAAAAAAAAAATTTCGCTTTTAATTTATTTACTACTATACTTCTTATTATTTTTTTCAATTAAAAAATACCGAATATATATTTTTCCCTATAACTTCAAATTACTTTTTTTAAAAATATACAATTTTTATACAATATTTGTCATTTTATTTCATTTGAAAATATCCACTTTCATTTTAGAAGAGGAAACACATTGAATTTTTCAAAGGAAACAGTTAAGTGATTTGTCATTGAACCGTAAGCAAAGACTTCTATGGATGAATTCACACGCTTTCTATCGACATTATTATTACAGAAAAAGAGGAAAAAAAAAAAGTGGCGTAATTGAAAAATGATAAACGCGTTACGTTATTCTAATTTACTTGTGCGATTAAGAAAAAAATGTATAACTTGGAAAATTGAAAAATATTAATATATTCTGCAAAATTCAATTTGTAAAAATTTAAATTATATTTATTTATTATAATTAACTAAATAAAATTTTCTTTCCAAGGGGAGATTTCTCGGAAGTTTCTAATTTCATTTTAATGCCATGATCCAGAAGGAAGCTGTGCATCTGGGTACTTTACTCTCCAATATCTCTTAGCGTATGACTAATGCAGGATCCTAAACATTTCGTAGATGTACACTACGATACAGACCACACTTTTTCATCTGGCTCTGTGATCACCTATTTATAGCAACACCAGAAACCAAGATGGTAGCTTACTCGCATTTCCACCTCTATGCCAAGTAGGCACACACATACTGCCGACGGATAAAGTTCAAGATTCAAAAAAAAATATTCTAACCATAAAAGGCGAAAATTCTTCAAAAAAAGAAATTTTTAATACAAAAATTATAAAAAAAATTCCCAAATTTATAGAAAAATACTTTTTGTACTCTTTTACAAATAAAGATTTTAAAAAAATTAATTTGTTTAACAGAAAAATAAATTTTTAAAAATATTTCTTAATTCTCAGTCTCAAGGTAACTAATAAAAAAAAAATTTCCTTGGGAAAAAAAGAATTTGCAGTTCAAAAATAATGCAGAAAGAATTTCAGAGGCCAATCTATTTTAGCCGCTGGGAGACAAATACTCCAAAAATAAATAATTTTTTTTAAACTCTCAAGTTTTTTTTTTTTTTAATAGGTTTCTTAATTTTTCGAGGTTTTATAAAAAAAAATTTTCCATAACAAATAAATAGAATAAGATAAAAAATTATCTAAGATCAATGTATAGTGAGAAAAAGTATTTTTCCATTATTTAAAAAAAAAAATGATCTAAAACGATATTTGAACTTTTCCACAAAGCCCTGATCCTCTATACAGAAATACAAGATAGAATGACGTCACTCTAATCAAACTCGACTAAGCTGAATGATGCCTGCAATTCACCACAGAAATATTCTTTATTGGAAAAAATAAATAAAGAAATTTCAAAATTAGATTATTACATAAATAACAAGAAAAAATAAATGCAATGTTTAGAAAAAAATAATAAAACCAATAGAAATAAATTAAATCTATATTAAAAATTTCAATTAAATTTATAATCGTTTCTTTTTATTCATTATTTTTATTAAATTAAATACAAAAAAAAGTTCACCTGTAATTTCGCCAGAGGAATGATGTCACAATCATTAGGACGGTGCCAGACTGTCTTTTGTGAAGTTGCATTATAATAATAAAATCTCGAAGTGTTTTGATCGAACAGCTCCCACCATTGATTATTATCCGTTTTCTTACTGTAAATAAAAAGAAAAGAAAAAAAAGGCGGTAAATAGACAAACGTTATTCGAAGAAGAGACGAAACAGAGACTTAACAGACCCGTCATTCAAACAGCCAACTGAATGAATAAGAAGTTAACTTGCTTTACGGCAAATCAAATTAATTTAAAAATTCAACATGTTAATTAAATCGTCAAGCTTTATCAAGAAAAAACAAGTAAAAACATATTTTCTCAGTAATTTATTGAATTAAAAACTATAAACTAAACAATTTTGTTTTTAATTTAAATAGAAAATTAAAAATTTTTTTACTCGTTAAAAAAAAATACTAAATTATTTTATGTAAATTTTGTCAAAGGATACTTTTTGATAAAAATTCGCTTTCAATTTCACGTAATGGATAAAAATTAACATTTAACGAGCTACTGGTCTAGTGTATGAATTATAATACACCCGGGGGATTAAATCTCTCGCTATAGCTATATATGTATGAGGTATCTTGACCACGAATGCAAAAGCCCATCCTGCATTTCTGACGGAATTTAATGCTCGTGCACTAAACACGTTGAGAAGATCTGTGTCAGCGATGTTCAACCTTTGACCAGTAGACTTGCTTCCACAAGTATAAACAGTTTCGACGAATTTATATTTTATCAAAAAGAAATATTAAATGAAAATCAATCCACTTTGCCGTTGACGACCAACATATATTAATTATAAATTTATTATCTGAAATTAATGATAAATGCAATTTCAAAAAATATTAATTTATCACTTTTGTTTATAGTTACAACAAATGTAAAATTTCATTTTTAAAAGTATATTTCAGAAATTTATTTAAATTTTCACTATAAAATTTTGATTTAGTTTTTTATTCCGACATTTGACAAAAATTTTATGACTATTTCCTGATTCACGGTCACCTTGAAATAAGAATGAAACGAAAGAAAAAAAAAAAAAAAAAAAAAAAAGAATTTTTCCCCAATAAAACAAAGACTATACAAGAAAAATATATATGTAGGGCGAAAAAGAAAAGATTTGAAAGTTCAGAGTGCCCTTAAGCTAAAGGATGCAGATATACATATATATATATGAAGCTCATGCCTGCAGTCTGGTGAGAGATCGATACCCTATATTCTTTCTTCAAACTTATCATTCCAATATTTTTCATACGTGCTATTACTTTACAAATGTCAAATATCCTATAAATCATAAATTAATTACTATAACAAGAAAATTAATAATAAATTCGAAATTTCTTTAGAATTCAATTACGATTCCTAAATCAATTTTCATTAAATCTCTTTTAGATTCTCTTTAGAATTTTTCATTATTTCTCAATCTACATTTTCTTTCAATTAATCTTAATTTTCATTATAATAAATTTTTTTTTCAATTCAATTTATTTTACTTTATTTTATCAATTAATTTTTTCTTAATTATAAAAAAAGAGAATAAAAAAATTCAAAAAATTTTAATATCTATATGAATCTTTTAACATATCGAAGAATAATAACAACTTATGAGTGAAGCAAAGATTGGTAAATTTACAGAGTACAATTTTCCAGAAATAGCAACGCAAAATTGGAGAATGTTTGCCGTAAACCATAAACAATTTTCGCTTGACTCATAATTGAAAATTGATGTCAAATTCCAGACTTTGTCGATACTAAAATAGAATCATTTGATGTATAATCCTAGTTCTATGAAGAACTATATGTTATTTTCTAAAAATAGTTTATCGGTTTTGGAAAATATACTTACACAGGCACACCTGGTGGAGGATCCCAAACACATTCCCCTGTTGTCAGATTGGCATACATGTGTTCTTTCGTACGTGGTTCGATGATCTCCACCCATTCCATTTTACTGAAAAATTCAAATTATTTTTAACAATAATTCTCTCCATATTGTATATAATATAATAAATATAATATAATAAATAAATCCATATAATAAATTATATCGATAAATATATAATAAAATGGGAAATTTTATAGCATAAAAAAATGAATTTGCTTTTTTAAAGAAAATATAAATAAATATAAGAATTTGTAAAATTGGAAAGGAGGACAAACTTTTGTTGAATATGAAATGAAAGAAACTATTGTATGAAAATGCACTCTTTAAATTTCACTTATATTATAAATGTAAAATTTGAGTAATAAACTGCGAGGGTAATCCTGAGAGAGAAATTGTTCAATTTTATCATATATTTACACATTGTAATTCCCCTTCGGATTTCAAACTCGTATCAGTATATAGTTCTGACAGTCAACATTGACTTCCAAAAGTTTATCATTCCAGTAATTGGGTTATATTCATCGCTTGCCTCAAAATAGAGAAAGAAAATGTGGTTTCAATTCAGATAAAATCCCTATTTCTATATACAGATTTGTATTGGAATTTTTTCAATTTAAATAACTAGTATATTTTTTTAGAAAAAAATTAAAAATTATCTAAATATTTCCCAATAATTTTTTTAGGAAAAATTTATTAAAAGTGCTGATATAAAATGAATATATGAAAGCGCTCCATCATGAACCGCATTAAACATAAAAGGGATGTACTTAAAATTAAGCGAAGCATAAACATAAGGTTGGGAGTACCACTTTCATTGATTCCACTTAAAATTAAATGAAACTGGAATTTCTAAAGAATCTTATAGCTTGTCGTTTATGACTCTGTGAGTGTACTAAATCCTTCATTTCAAATTGTACAGAGAGAAAGAAAAAAGAATTCATGTGCATTATGTAAATTATCCATTTTAATTGAGATAAAAAAAATTATCAATTTTATCACTTCTTTTTTTTTTTATTTACCTATTTGACATTTAGAAAAAGGTCTTAAAATTTTACAAACAGGAATATACAATATGAAACTTTTATTTTTCTGAAACCTATTAAAGAAACATAAACAATTTTCTCAACTATAATTCTTTCTCAACACAAGCAAAATCTTTTACATTTTTTTTTTCTTCAAAGTTACACTTTGACGAGGGAAAGTGCTTCCTTGAAATCAAGATTATTGAATAATAAATTAATCTGAAAAATGCTGGTTTCAAAGAGTTGAAAAAAGTTGTTCACAAGAAAACTTGGTTTCGCAGACGTTGCGATTAATAAAAAAAAGAAACTAAACAATAAATTTTGAAAGATTTAAATACCAAAAAAAAAAAAAAAAAAAATGGATACGATGAGAAAAATGTTTGGGCATGATTTAAAGTGTGAACTGTCACTTTGCACACCCTTTTCACGGTGACAATCGATGGAAATGCAGGCTGCAAAACCGGCTGATGTCATGCTGGTCGTTTAATTGGCACAAATAGTCCGCGCAAATATATCTATGTGGAGATCGGTACGCGAAAGTGCAAAAAAGACGAGCACGACATGGACAAAAGATAACAAGCGAAACAAGTGACAGGAGAGAAAAGAAGGGTGCAGCGCGAGTCTTTATGGGTCCCACCCAAAGCCAAGCTTGCGTTACTTAAGAATTTTTTTTTTATAATTATTACACGATCAACAAATATAATATTTACATTACCAATTTTGATGACTCGAATTATTAAATAAAACTGTCGGCAAAAAATTTTTCACACGTCAAGACACGATAGAAATCACACTGCCGTTATCTTTATTAAATGACGATTTGATTTAATCAGATCTCATTGAATCAATTTTTATTATTATTAACCTTTATACACTTACTTATCGGATGCCATTCTTTTGCAAATGAAAAATAAACTCCTTTTGGAAAATCCGTGAGGATTCACCACGTTCTTCTATATCGCGTCACACTGAATTTTAATGCCACTTTAAACACCGTGACACTTTTTTTCAAAAACTCAACTCCTAATTAACAATGACACTTGAATTTCGCAACTTGCTATGTTTCATTGCTGCAAGTGCAAACAGAAATGCAAATCTTGACTTTTTTCATGACAGAGAATCACTGGCGGCCATCTTCCTCCGGACCCAAACCACGGACCGATCACTACTGATCAACAGATCTAGTTCACAATGCATTTACAATAATTAAATTATACGACAATCCCCGCGGTGCTTATGTCAATCTTAACAATGTATTTTGTCACTTGATAAATGGCCCTGTGAAAATTGTGCTTATTCACAAAATTTAATCGAGAAAAAAATGAAGCTTTCGCTTTCGTCAGCCTTCGCGTTTTAAAATGCTGATCGTGCGTGTATTGGTAGATAGAATTTTTATCTTGACAAGATTATATTCAACACAAGTATTTTATAAGATTTTTATCAAACCTCGTCGTGACATGACGAGTGTTTATGATTTCTGGCACATTTTTCGTTTTGACAATAAACTGTGTCATTCTTAAACGTGAAAGACATAAACTAAAACTCAATTTTCAAAAAAGAGCAGACGACACATTTTTCTTGCAATAAAGAATAAAGTGTGTAACACAGTGCTGCAATTATTATTCTGGACAAGTTGATCTAAATGAACCAATGACAGTGTGGTGAGGTTTTTTCTGATTCGTTGACAAAAAAAGAGTAATGTGACGTGAGCTTTATGTAAAATTTTAAGGTTAGATATCATACCGACTGTTTTATTACTTTATCAACAAAAGGTTATTTAATTTCTTTTTCTATTATCGATAATAAAGAATTTCTCATCTTTAGTTCGGTTCAGTTCCGATTACATAGTTTCATATTTAATTGTATTTAATCTTGATTCGAGTGTGTAAAAAAAAACTATCGCCTGTATTTCCACGGAAATTTAGTGAGTAATATATACAAAATAATATATTTGAGACGGTAATTAATAACTTTAAAATGGCTGATTCGTCCTATGAGAAAGGACTATCTGAATTATCAAAGATGAAGGTATGTATTTTTGTGCAATTTGGAATGGTCAAGCCGATAACCTCAAAATTTGGCATTCCTTTTTTGTTTTAGTTTTATTATCTTTAAACATTTATTGTTTACTAATGCGTTGATAATTGTTTTTTTCTTTAAGGTCGCCGATTTAAAAGCAGAACTAAAACAACGTGGTTTACCTACTTCGGGAAATAAAAATGAATTGGTTGAAAGACTCCAATTGGCCTTGCATGGAGGTGAGTTGTAGAAAAAAGAATTATTATTATTTTTTTTTTTATTAAATTTATTTATTTCATCGATTTTCATAAATTCATAATTCTTTTGTGCTTCAAGAATATATTTCTTAAGAAATGTTAGATAGCTTTCTCGGTAGTAGTTGTATTGCTAATTTGATAAAACTTGGGTGTCAAATTTCACATAAATACGATAAAACTACAAATGAAAAACTTGTGACCTTAGGGGTTTTGTTTAAAATAATATCAGTTTCAGGTAATTTAATTTTTAAGAATTAGAAACAGGAAGTTTAATTTTAAAATAAATTTCTAGTTATAGTTTTATTGCTTCCTGTTATTGTGTTAAAATTCAATTAAATTATTTCGTTTATTGGAACATATAAAATACTCTCAGCATCAGATGCTCTTTCTTTAGATTCAACATTATCACTTGATGAAACAACTGAAGAAATACTGGATGAAGAGATATTGGGTGTAAGTTAAAATTTTCAAAAAAAATTTCTTAATTATTTACTTTTTATTATATTAATTCTTATTGACGTAATATAGGATGAGGAAATTGAAGAATTATCCAGCAAACCAGATTCTCAGGAAATTGTTGAGAAACGAAAATTATCAACAGACAGTAATAGTAATGGAGCTTCGAATGGGAAAAAAATTGTCTTAAATCGCAAAACTGTTATAGAAGATATCAAAGTTGAGGAAAAAACAGAAAAAGATAAGGAATCGCCGAAAAAGGACGAAAATGCAGTAGCGGAAAAGAAAGTTATTAAATTATCCGAGCTCAGCATGCAGGAAGTAATTATAATTTTTATCTACAGTTTTATAATGATTAAAATTTCTATTTTTTTATTATAAATTGATTTATCTTATTTTAGAGATTAGAAATGAGAAAGAGAAAATTTGGCATGCCAGCTTCTGAAACAGCAAAAAAATTAGCAAGAGCGGCAAGGTTTAATATGAATGATACAAATAGCTCGTCAATCAAAGCATCAGAAGTGAGTTTTCCATAATTTTTTTCTTTGATTTTTAATAGTTATGATCAACTATTTATTTTTAAATAAATTTTTATAGAATACATCCTACGAGACATTGAAGAAAAGACAAGAAAGGTTTGGATGCTCAGTTTCCAGTGTTATGGAAAAGGTAATAATTGCAAATATTTTTAAAACTAATAAATATTTTTTGTGAAATTTTAATTGTACATTTTGTTCCCTTAGGCTGAATTGCAAGACAGGATAGAGAAACGAAAAGCAAGATTTGGTGAAGTAAAACCAATTGATAAAGTTTTTTCTAATAAAATTAAAATAGTAAAATGATATTCAATTTTATACACCAAAATGCCAATTTAGAATCCACATAGGTGATTTAATTTTATTGAATTTCTACTTAAATATCTCAATTACAAGGAGAAATAAAAATTTCTTTATTTAATTATATTAAAATAAAAGTTTCTTTATTTTTCATCGGTGTTTTCTTTTGTAAATTTTTATTATTTTACAGTTATTATTATTATTTTTTTAATCACCTATGTTAGAATTCTAAGAAAATATATCACTTACATGACCGTACATAAATTTAATACGCTTGATATAATGTATTGTGTGAATATCAAGAGCTTTGACGAGTGTATAGAAATTTTTATAAATTTATAAATAAGTTTTTTTTTATATTTTGAACTAATTCTTAAGTGTTTTTTTTATAGAACGCGATTACTTTTTTTTTTTCATCATATATTCACAAATTACAAAATTGTATATTGTAATTCTATATTGTTCATTTAGCTCGGCTCTTTATAAACAATTTATTATTTACGTAAAACATAATTTTTAATTAATAATGAAAAATTTGTACATTTTTCTATTTTTCTTCGCTAAGCAGTATTCAAATTTAAATATTATATATATAACGGAGTTAAATAATTAGTTTTAGTTTATATTTTTTAATTACATAAGTGAACTCTATCATTGTCATTATAATTGAAAAAAAGCATTTTCAAACATTTGAATAAAATATCTCAAAAGTAATTTTTTCGTTTTAATTAAAAAAAAAAAAAAAATAGTATTAATTAAGAGGTAATAATGGAAAAACACAAGTCTGTGTGCAGCACATGTTTAATTTCTGTTAACTTAATAAAGCTTTATAAAATTTATTTTAAAGATATCACATTTACGTTTACTGCTACAAAAGTTTACAATTTATATAAGCCATTGGACAACCAAGTACAAAAATTGAAGCAGTATTATAAACTAATGTCTGACACTTTATATGCAAAATAATGCGTCCCACAAATAATAATAATAATATAATTATCATGTGCTTTTTGATTAGAAAAACAAATATTTTTCGCCCTCATATAAAATTCAATGTAATTTACTTTTTACACAATCCAAGCAAAAATATTCACTTGGTATTTTCTAGCGATATAACAAAAATATATATAATTATTTAAAAATCATAATCGAAGTCTATTTTTCTTTTCAATAATAATTTTTTTTTATGCGTACAATTTGTCGACACTTTTACAAGTGTGCACAAAGTCCAAAACAATATAATAAAATTCGAATTTTAATTACTAATAAAATAATGAAAAATAATACATAAATGAACACATTGACAAATTGCTTCCTTCATTATTCTAAATATCCTATCTACGCATTAAATATTTTCTACATTCGTAAAATTCATTACAATTTATCTCACGTTTAATTCATTTTTTTTTTCTTTTTAATTATATATAAGTATCGAAATTGAATTTTTCATGGAATAACATGAATCGTGTGCAGTGTGTTGATTTATGTATCACGTTTTACAATTTCGATAATAAAAGTAATACTTGATTGATAAAAATAAAAAAGAAACTATCAGTGGAAAATGCAGTTCTCTCTGGAATAAGTCTCTGTAAAATTTTCATTTTTTTTTTGGTACGATAAAAATTCAATTTCTGACGATTTTTTTTTTTTTTAATAATAAAATAGTTGATTGTCTTGTGTATAAATGTGAAAGAGAACTGTTTTGATGTTAATATTAAGACTGCAATAAAAATAAACTTGATAATATAAAATCTAAGTTACGCCAGTTGCAATGTATTAAAAATTAAAAAAAAGCATGCAAACGCGTAAAAATCATTTCATTAACTAAAAAAAAAAAATTATTGAATGACAACTGTTGTGGGTTAATGAAATTATAATTAAACGAGTATCACGCAAATGGAAATATAAAATTGTGATTGAAAACGTGACTTGAAAATCGTTTGATTCACGATTGTTCTAAACACATCTAAATATAATAAGCATTCTAAAAATTTGTATAATTGTCAAATTATTTCTTCATCATTGTAATTCTTCTCTTCTAATAAAGTTACATTTCTAATGAAGATCTCTTTCTTATTTGTGGCATTTCCGCCGATCGTAAGATATACAGCAACGCTAATTTCACAGCTTTTGAAAGGCTCATTGCATTTCTAATGCAACGCTCAGAACTTTGCATAATACGATACAAATGTTCGTTTTATAATAAATAAAATTTTAACAAATGGCCCGCTAGTGAATTGAAAGTAGTGTTCTTGTCTCAAATATGTAATGGCATCAAAAATTGTTTAAAAAAAAAAATTTATATATATTCGTACTATTACAAAGGCCGTATGAGATTTGTTTTAAATCTCATTATAATCTTATTTTATGAAATAAAATTTGTCAGAAGACTTAACTTATTTATAGCCATCCTGTATAGATAGAAATATTGTTTTAAATAAATAAAGTATGCAAATTCAAAGTCTGTTTCAAATATTGTGACGAACGTTTAGGAATGACATTTTTTGTTTTTTAATACATAATCACTGTGCCTCTATGACTGGCCTTAGGCCTAAAAGCGCGTAGAAATTTTATGCTCATTTCGGTTTAAGACTTCCAACCGGAGTGGGAAGATTAAAACTCAACGAATTTGAAAGCATAGTTGGCGTGGAAATTGGTGTATCTCCAAGACCTGAATTAATAGCATTCGTTTCACTTTTATAACGAATATTGGTATATTCTCGACCTAATTGTAACGATTTCTGAAATGCAGGCAATTTTCCATTATTTGATTTTAAAAGAAAAATTAGGAAATATTTAATTTTTTAAAACAATAATTTAATGAATTACCTGTTCGGCTTGCATCCGTTGCGAGACAGTTTCAATATAATGCAAAACAGCTAGGTACACGAATTTGTATTGCGCTTCAGTCTGTACCATTCCGGATCTTTGGGATCTTACCCTCTGAATGGTCCTTTGAATATCAATTTCACAATCAAGGCCTGAAACAAAAGGAAAATAAAAAACAAAATTAAAAATAAGAAAATTTTACTTTTTCTTTTAAAAATTAAATAATTTAAAAATTTACCATGTCGTTTAATTTGATCCAAAATCATATCTATGACAATAAATGTTCCCGTTCGACCGATTCCGGCGCTACAGTGTACAAGAACTGGTCCAACAGCCGTTGGAGTTTGACTACTTGGAACCCCAGTCGAAGCGGTGGCAGCGATCGATTCCTGTCTTGCATTAACGTCGTGAAGAAAATTTAACACACAACCTGGATCTGATGGAACTCCATGATCGGGCCAGGCCTAAAAATCGCATTATATGAAAATATATAGGAAAAATTATAAAAAAATTAAACATTTAAGAACATTACAAACCTGAAAATGATAATGAAAAATCTTTCTTGGCTCAGAAAAATTAGGCTTACTTCCTTGGAGAAGAAATTCTCGTAATGTATAATCTGCTGTAGAGGTGCGAGCAAGTGCTCGTACTTTCCATTCTCCGCCATATTCACTAACTTCACCTTCTTCCGGCCAATATCGAGCACATTTATTCTTAAAAAAAAGAGGAAATTTAGAAAAAAAATTAAAAATTTTAGAATTCTTGTAAGATTTTTTTTATCACCTTTCCCCTCTCAATTTCTTTTGTAGTCATTACAATAACACGAGTATTTTCCTGATAAACCATATGCCAAAAATCTTGAATTGTATTCGGTAAACATCCCTGAGTAGCTATATAACATTTATTGAATAATCCATTATCGCCAATGCCTCCCATACCAACACCGGAACCTTCTTTTTCATCATTCTACAATATTTACCAAAAATTGAAAAAAGTGTTAAAAATTAATAATAGTTTAATGATTAAAAAAAAACATACTTTGATATAATTCGCATTGATGTAGTCTGAGCCAGGAACATTTGGATCCACATCGATTAGACGAACTCTCGTGTGATCAACTAAAAAATATTTTTTTTTTTTTTTGAAATTAAAATTCCATATATTTTTAAATAGAAATTAAAATTAAAAATATCTTACATGGTAATATATTTTTATAACGATTCTTGGCTCTATTCTCAGCTCGTAATCCTTCAGTTCTCGAGAAGAGATGACGACATTCAAGTTGCTGTAATGATTCGAATTCTTCCCAAAAGCCGGCTTTTCCTTTACCCCGAACTGCTCCACCTTCTTCGCCAGTTGCTGCACCATTCCAACATAGCCATCCATTCGAACATCCATTTTCTTTATGTAATTGTCTAACTCTGCTTTCTATTCCACTGGCATTTATCCTTGTCGCGTTAAACGGTTGTCTAAAAATTTCAAAATTTTTGCTCCATATTTCTCATAGAAAAAAATAATCTCAAGGAAAAAAAATAAACAAAAAAAAAATAGGCAAATAAAATATTACCTTAGGTGAACAACACTTCCACTAGTTTCCACCATTGGATTACGTTTATAATGTTCTATAAGGTCACTGAGACTATCAAATTTTTCCCCACCTCCAACATCATATTTATTATCCTAAAAAAAAAAAATTGTAAAATATTCTTTTAGATAAATATAGTTTACAATTGAAATACAATAAAATGATTAATGGTCACTGACCTGAGATCGAATCATAACATGAGTCACACGATCATCTGTGCGTACAGATAACACAAAATCGCCAGGTTTACTCTGTGATTCACGTACAAGAAATGATCCATTTTTACCACGCTCTAACATCAATCGTTCTGCTTCCTTTGCTGATAAATGTCCATGAAACCATCTGTAATATTAATAGATTATAAATTTTTAGTTTACATTATTTTGAATTATTTTTGACTTTATTTTATATAAAAAATAAATTAAATTACCTTTCAGTCGTTGGATCAGCACAATTTAATGGATATTTTAATTCAATAACTTCACCATTTTTTTCCCTCAATTGTCCATCGTTTTCCATATAGAATTGCACCAATTCCGAAAGAGTTGCAAATTTTTCTCCACCATATAAATCATAAAAATCACCAGTATTTTGAATTTTAATATGAGTCACTTCTCCGTTTCGCCTTTAGAAAGAAATTTAAAAAAAAATATATATATATATATATATAATTTATTATAAAAGATTGTGGTTTAGAAAGTAATCTTGAACTGTCACTTGAATAAATTTTGTTCTAAAATAATTTTTGTCATTCCTTTGTCATTCACAGACAATAATAGAATTTTTATCTAATCTTGTTATAACAATATTTTATTTTTATGACATTTTTTTACCTGACAGATAAAGTGAAATCTCCAGGATTAGAAGAACTAGGCCTTGCTAAAAAAGAACTGTCATATCCACGTTCCATCAAAAGTCGTTCTGCTTCTAAACCTGATATGTTCGGATGAAACCATCTGTAATTATTTTATAAATTTTAACAAGTTTCTAATAAACTTTTTATTCTTTAAACAATTAAATTGAAATTAAATACCTAGAAATATCTAAAAACTAATTATAATCTTACACGTAAATATTAGATTTTCTTTTAAAAATAATTATCTAATATCTCTGATACTTCCTAAATTTAAAATAAATCTTTTTTCTTTTTTAAATGAATAAGTGCCGCACCTTAAAATTGCTCCAAAGAAATATTAAAGAAATTATTTTAATTAAAATAAATATTATAATAAAATTTAATGAAACATGATTGTCTGAAATAAATGCAAATCTGAGTTGACTTTTTTTTTTTAATAATTATTTTTCATCGAGCTGTAACATTTTATTTGTTATTAGCTTGTATAATTGATATAATAAAATCCTCAGAACTTACCTAATACGGAGCAGAACTAATCTACAAAGACAATAAGTGGGACTGCTCTCAAAGTGTCCGTGAATTATGATAATTACGAATTTTTTTTTTTTTTTTTTTTTTATGCAGGTACAAAAAAAAATGCCTCACCTGCGCGATGCCATGTCGTGATTACAATTACCACCTGGTAATCAATAAAACATACTGCCTTCTATAAAACAATTGGGGTTAGTTTACTTCATAAATTTGATACAGAAAGTCATCTTAGACTTGACCAATGTTCAGACATTTTCACATTTAAGAAAAATAAAAAAAAAAAATAATTTTTATAGTAGAATTTGTGAGACACTACGCCGTTCTACATAGAAACGAATCTCGTATGTAATATAAACAGGTCTATAAACTCCCCAGGGGGGAGATTATTGTTAATGACTCACGTATTGAAGAACAATGCTATTTTTTAAATTGTCCACCATAAGCGCAAAGTTCGAAAGTAGCTTACATGTGATTTTGCCTTAAGGAATTCGTAACTCAACATAACCTCTCTTAAATTCTGTTCAGTTTTTACCCAACCCTGTGCTTTCCAAAATTTCATATAAAAATTTAACTTTCTTGAATGCAAATTTAGCGTACTTAAAGTGTAAACAATATTTTTGAAATAAGTTTATCTTCGGAAAATTAATTGTATTATTTACATAGCCTAAGAGAGAAACAATTTTATTCATAGTTTTTGATATCGTTTATAGTATATTTGTAAATTACTAATATTGTTTTTATAATAATGGATTTACAAGAGAAGAATAATTCAACGGAAAAATCCGTGGAACAATGTGATGATGAGAATTCTGTAACAATGATCGATGTTCTACAAGAAGAAAATCAATTGGAAGAAGATGCTAATGCTGTTTTAGGACCAGCTGACGACAAAAATTGCACTTACATTCAAGTATGTTATTAACATATTTTTTGTTAATGAAATGAATTTTCAGTTGCATGAAATTATTGACGTTAAAATAAAAATGGTCTTATCAAATATATTTTCATATTAATTAAAATAATAAGAAAATTAATACAAGTGTGTGTGTGTTTACGTGTCAAATGTAAAAGCAATATTTCATATTAATTTTCTATTTACATTTCTTGAGATATTTATTAGTATAATAAAGATTAGGTAGAAATTTGATTAATTTTGAAGCATTTCTTCTAAATATTCAGGGATAGTAAAATAAACGTTAAAGAATCGAATCCTCAAAATATTGGCACGAATTTGTTCCAATTCGTATATTAGTCGCAAAACATGATTCATGAGGATTAATTCATTTTAATTTTAAGTGTTATTATTTTTGCCTTGTATCGTGAAAGTTCGTTCGAGAAATAATACATTTTCAGATTTAATTTTTGTTCTTCTTTGATGATCTAGAATTTTATTTAATTATCGTAATGAAAAAAAAAAATTAAATAATAATTTTACATAGGGCTACATAAGACAGGCACTTTATGCTTGTAAAACATGTCGTCCTGAAGGAACTCGAGCTGGAGTTTGTTTCGCTTGCAGTTTACATTGTCATGAAGGTCATGAATTAATTGAATTATATACTAAAAGACATTTTAAATGTGATTGTGGAAATTCAAAATTTGTCGATAAAAAATGCAATTTATATCCGGTAAGTTTTTAAAATATATATATATATTAATTTAATGATTCAAGTGTCTAATTAATTATTATTTTCTAGGTAAAGTCAAAGTTGAATGAGGAAAATAAATATAATCAAAACTTTGATGGTGTTTATTGTACTTGTATGAGGCCTTATCCAGATCCTGAAGGATTAGATAACGATGAGATGTTACAATGCGCAATTTGTGAAGATTGGTATCATTCCAAAGTGAGTATATAATAAAAATTTTATAAATATATATTTAATTTAATTTTCAATGAATTAAATATTAATTGTCTTTCAGCATCTTGGACGTGAAAAACCCGATGAAAATTCTTACGATGAAATGGTTTGCGACAATTGTATGACAAATACACCTTTCTTGTGGAATTATGCGGCAAAATATTCAAGTAATAAATTTTTTAATTTCTTACATTTAAGAAAAATAGAATTTTTAATAATTGTAAAATAATTTTTCAGTAACAAAAGATAATGATGAGGCAAATAAAACTGAAGAAACAGTTGAAGTTGAAGTAAACTTAAACAAATGTACAAGACCAACAAGTATTTCTATAGTTGAGAAAAAAGGATGTTGTTACTGGAAGGAAGGATGGAGATCTTCTTTATGTACTTGTGATGAATGCAAAAAGGTATTTATTTTTTTTTTTTTTTGCCTTAAATTTGTACTCCTTTTTAATTAAAACATTTTTTTAGCTCTATGTGGAAAACAAAGTCGAGTTTTTGATAGATCAAGCAGACAGTGTTCAAGTATATGAAGAGTCTGGTAAATTAAATAATAGAGAGTCTCACTATGAAATGGGAATGAAAGCATTAGCCTCACTTGATCATGTACAACAGGTCACTGTAATTGAAGGTAAATATTTATTTATTTCCATCATTTATTATTATTAAAAAATAAAATAATTTCCATTATTTTAGAATATAACAACATGAAAGAAAGATTAAAAGAATATCTACAAAAATTTGCCGACAATAAAAAAGTTGTTCGTGCCGAAGATATTCAAGAGTTTTTCTCTGAAATGGAACCAAACAAACGACAAAAAATTGAAATACCAAAATTTTGTCGATGAAACAATTGACTCATATACTCAAAAAACAAACAAACATTTTTTTTCTATATATTCTGAAGCTATTTCAAAATTTCAATAATTCTAAATTATTCTCTATTTAATAAATTACAATTTAATCGGTAAAAAAATATAAATAATCACACTTAATGTATGTGCTTTAAAAAAAAAAAAATTTCTAGTAATAAAATATTCTTTTAAATGTATATCTATAGAATTTTTTTTTTTTTAAATAAAATCGATAATTTTTATGACAAGGAAATAAAATTATAAATTAAAGCAATTTTTTTTTAAATATATAATTTATTTTATTTTTTTCTAATAACAGCTAAATGTAACATTTTCTATATTTAATTTAAACGTACAGAGACATTTTAGTGATTATTTAATTAAAATATATTTATTAAATAAAAATATATTTACCATAAATGTTTGCGTTCGATAATTTATTGTGCTATAAAAGATGTTTATTATTAATTATATTATTATTTAATTGAAGTTGTATGACTAATATCGGTTCACTGCAATTCGGTTTGTCTGTATAAATGGACCATGTTCTCTCAATGCAATCGAAAATTCCTGATAATAATTTATTATTAAAAAATTTGGAAATGTAAATAATTTTTTTTTTTTAAATGGTACCTACCGACAGCAATTGTTTTAACGTAATCTTGAGGTCCAAATTCTTGAAATACTCTATATTCATTATCTGTTTGATCACTTAAAATATTAATAACGTCTTGAGAATTTTTCGGTGGACCATGCTTTTGTATTGCTTCCATTCTATGTGTACTACTGTCTATTATCACACCAGTAACTTCCGGTACCTTAAGTCGCATATACCTGTAAAAAAAAATTAAAATTAATTAATAATTGCTTTAATTTATATTTTTATGTTTATTTATTATAATTATTGAATTAAAAAATTACTTGTTACAATGATAAATAGTTTCTCCAGGACTTGCTGTTAATATTGAAAGTTGTGATTGTAATGCATCAGATTCAACAGGTCCAACTTCGGCATTATGAAACATTCGATCTCCTTCTTGAAGGAGAAATGTCATATTAACTGAAAATCCCTCAGCTGCGCCATAACCATCGTTTCTTAATGTTTGTTGTGCTTGAACAAAATTTTCAACACCAAGAAGAGATCGTGTTATAAAATAACGAGCTAGATTAGAAAATAAAATTCAAAAATTATTAATTTCATTTTTTAGTTTCTTTTTACAGATTTAAAAATAACTCACGAGTTTTTCCTGATCTAAGGGTTTTTGCACTGAGAGTATTAATACTGTATACAAGACCATGATGATTGTAGCCCATTGTGTAACCTGGTAAAAATCCAGCATAACTAAGTGACGTGAATTTTTCTTCCTTCAAACCAGATTCAATAACGTGAGCATCAACTAAATACCAATGATTTAATGTTTCACTTAAAGCATCTTCATTGTGACCTAAAATTTCCTGAAAGTTAAAAAATTATTGTAGTAATATTTTTTTTTTTATTTTCAGATTTGAAAGACAAGAAAAACCTGGCCTGGTTGATTGCAAATTATAGAGGAACAGCCAACTGGTTCTTTCACTCCTTGTTTGCCTTCTATCACATTTGGGAGAATATCATCGAGATGCATTAAAAATAGCTGAAAAATTGATATTAACAGATCTTCAGGATATTTATCAAAATGGTATTTATTTCTTTCTTCTATATGAAATTATCTTCATTACCTTTAAATTATTTTTTTTTTTCTCATTACCTTATAAAATGGAACTTCAGCTCCATTTGCAGTTCCTTCAATTTCTCTGACATAATGAGGAAATTGTTCTTTAACGCATGCCAAAGTTTCATCATAAATTTTTTTCCCATCCATACTTTCATATAGAGGTAAATACGTATCGTTTAAGGGACGATAATTTGCTACATAATCACGAATAAGTTTAGCAAATGTGCGCCCCTGCAAAAATTTTTTTTATACAATTTAAATTAAAAAATTAGAAAAATAATAATCATTTTCTTTGTTAATTTATAATTTAAGAATACAAATATTTAAATTTAAATAAAAAGTTTAAAAAATGTAAATAATTTAATAAGTGGGACATTTTATAACAGAAAACATTCCTTTCAATCACATTAAGTTTATAGATCTAATCGCAATTAATTGTTCATAGTATTGATGTGAATATATGTCCTATAAATGGTTGCTTATACGTGTCTTTCTAAATTTTTTTTTGTGCAAATTTAAAATATTTCTTTAAAACACTATATCATTGTTTAAACATAATTATATCATTAAAAAGACATATTATGTAATAAATTTTTACACGCATACAGTGCATAATTTAGATAAATTTTCCTGTTTGAGAATAAGAAGAAAAAAAAAAAAATTAGATATAAACGTCGCAGTTACTTAATTGAAAAATTTAATGCAGTGATGAACACGTGAATGCATAAATTACAAAAGTTAAATTATTTATTCTTGTTTAATACCAACTATAATTTACAAAATAATGTTCTCATTAGGCATAATATAAAAAAAATTTAATGCAAAAAAAGATTATTTAATTCCAATAATTGACTTATTTTTTATTGTTAAATAAATATGTATTCATATCAAATAAATATTTTATTCTTATTAAATAATTATTATTTCAAACAATTAAATGATGTTTTAAAAGATAGAAATTATTATTTCGAATATAGTTTATTTAATTTAAATCAAAATTATTTGGTTCAAATAAATTTTGATAATAGTCAAGTAATTGATTATTTAAATCAAAATAATTCATATCATTAAATTTTAAATAAAATTTCTATATTAATTATTTTAAAAAAATACTTACAATATCAAATCCGATTTCATAGTGAGTTCCTCTCACATAAATAATTGGAACTGCATTTCTTCTGCCAATTTCTTGAATTTTAGCCATACCATTTGAAGAATTCATTGTATTTATAGTTTTATAAAAATAAAATCAAAAATTTTAATCCTTTCTCTATTTACACTAAATTGGAGTATATTATGTATATCTGCACATTACCGCCCTATTTATATGCGCACATAAAAAAATAATTGAATATTATTATTATTATTAAATATTATTACATAAAAAATTTTTTCCTTAATCAAGAAGTACTTTTTTTTTATTAAGGAAAAATTGTGTTTTATAAATTCAATTCCTTTATTGTAAAAACTCGTTTGGTTTATTATTAATAAACATAAAAATTTGTTTTAAGATGAAATAAATTAAAAAAATTTTAAATAACTAATTTTTAATAAATTAATATTTTAGTCCTTTTTTAGTGCAATTTTGGGAGTTTAAAAAAAATACTGAATACAAAAATTATGTCAAATTTCGATCAAAAAATCTAGGGGTAAATTAATAAAATTCGGAGAACGACGAATAAAAAAAAAGAATGTTTAAAAATAATTCATCATTTTGATATCAACAAAAGCACTTACTGCGTAAAGATTTTTCTTGTCGAAAACGCAAGTATATATATACAATTATTATATAATTTTGTTTGATAAGAAAAATTTGAAAAAAGTAAAATTTTAATTAGTAATTAAATAAAAGGATGAGAGAGAGAGAGAAAAAAATAATTTATTTAATTATAAATTGGTAAAAAATAATTTTTGTTTACATTAAAGAAATAAAAAGCTTTTCGGAAGAAGACTAACACAAGACTAAACCTAGACTAAGAGTATATACCTGGTTGGCGGTTGCATAGGTGACTAGATCAGCTACTTATCGACTTACATTGGTTGATATATAGCCACTCTAGTACTCATTTTCGCTTATGTATCGTATAAAGAAATAATATATATATATACATGTATATAATATTTGTTTATGTTATTGGCCTTAGGCTACTTAATAAAATTATCTAAATTTACAGAAGAAAAAAATTTATTTGATTCAAAAAAAATTTACCTTATATTTACTTGAATAATTTTTTATTTTAATCAATTTTTATTCAAAGCAATACAAATTTAATTGGTAAATAATAATTAATATAATTATTTGAATCAATTTTTTTATATTTATATACATTTATAAATGTATTTTGGAAAAATATTTATTGTACTTATATTTGAATTGAAAAAAATTTTAATTAACAAAAAATTATTAAACTTGAAAGAAATATATCTTTGCTTATTATTTCACTATAAAAGCAATTATAAGATATATAAAAGCGTACCTAAATTATAAATATATATTTATAATAATTGAGGGTGAAAATTGCGTTTCCATAATTGTAACTAGTCAATGACTTTTATTGTACTACAAGGTTGTAATTAATATTTCCATGATACACATTATTTACAGTTTAGATTTTGAATTTGAATTTTTTTTTTGTTCCTTGTGAAAAAATTTTTTTTTTTATCTTTATAAAAATGGCAAAATTTTGGAGTAATGAATTTTTCAAATTTTCCGTTTTTGTAAAAATAGCTCCTTTAATTTAAAAAAAAAAAAAAAAGAATTGTATAAAATTAATTTTTTTACATTTTTGTACCTGTAAATTTAAACATATTGATTAACCGCGAAAGAGAATTTAATTACATTAAAATGTAATATAATAACAACACATATATGTAAAATTAAAATGTATAATGTTACAAATCACAATCTAAAAATATCATGTTTTTACACAATAATCTTGATAATGCAATGATAAGATGTGACAGTATAATGTTGTCGCATGTTAATATGCAATTTAAGTGTTGAAATATGATAGAATTATATTATTTATCAGAATATAAGAGGACAAGTTTATATCCGTCGATGCATAAAATTCAAATACTTTCAATAGAAACAGAGAATTAATCTCTATGTTAATCACGATAATCAAGAATAAGGAAGGTTTCATTGCAGCTGAGAAGCCCTGCAAAATCAAGTACGGCCTTGTCCTGGGCTTTTCTCCTAAGTTATATATATACAAAAAAAAAAAACTTTAAAATATCAATTTTTGTTGTAACTAGAAATAAAACCAGGAAATTGATTTAATTTTTATTTATTTTATTTTTTCAGTTTTTTTTTTTTAAATTCATACTTATATACAATACATATTTTGTTAAATATTATGTATCATTTTTATACAAGTTATATGGAAATATAAGAATTTTCAAAGATAATGTGTTTTATAATTTGAACGGATGTTTAATTTATATTATGTTTGTTTTTACCTTTTTTTTTTTTTTAATATTCATCCGTACAATCGTATTAAATTGGAGTACCTTAAATTTTCTACATTCTAGAATAATATTTGTAAAAAATTTTCCGAGTGTAATTAAATTAAACAATATAATTATTATGAATACGCTTATGTGTTCTATTTTTTTTTTTAAATCAGTTTATAATACAACTATGATTATCACAAACGCCATTTTTATACGACGTGTTTTATTTTAACTAAATTATTCGCAAAAATTTTTTTTTTTTTTTTTTTTTTGAAGCATAAAAACGTGTACTTTTAAAGTAAATTAAAATCTTTTATTTTAAACAATTTACTGGCTGTATAAATTCTCATTATCAGGAACAATATTTCTTATTTTAAAAATAGAAAAACATTTTTTTGATAACGAAACTGTTAAAAATAAATGATTTTCAATTATAGAGTAGTCGTTTCTATGATTCAAAAAAAAAAAAATGTAATAATTTTAGAAAAACAATTTTTTTTTCAGAAATGGGCATATCTTTGAAACTTTTCATTTTTAAGGCGTCATCCATTTTTAAGAGATGAAATTGTAAACCAATCACCGTAAATTGAGAAATTATATCGTGCATTTTAAATGGTGTTCGATAATATTATATGTATGTAGAAAATCCAATTGAATTTGGATGAAAATTGTTAATTATATAAGTATAAAAGTTCTGTGGATATGCTCACATCATTAAAACATCAACCATTCGTTATTAAATAAAAAAAAAAAAAAAAAGAAACCTAATAAATAATTTTTGACGAAAGTAACATACACAAGAAAAAAAAATCGACGTTTTTTTAAATAATTTAACTGAAACAAAAGCAGTCTTTTGTAAATTAGTTTTTCTTTCATTTTTATATCCCAATAATTCGTTATTTTTTTTCTTAATCAAGAATCTCAAAACTAGGAATTGTGAGAAATTCTTGATTCCTAACATGAAGTTGTATTTTTCGCTTTTTGAGCTGCAATGCGTTGACTACGTCGCAATGTTCGTGGTTGTGATGATTCTACATCGCTATCTGTTTCACAATCGGGATAATCTAGGGAAACTGATTTACCAGTGTAACGCCATCTTCCAATTCCTCCATCCCACTAAAAAAAAAAGATTTTAATTACTGATTTAGATTTTAAAAAATTTTTAAATTTATTTAATTACAAAAAGAGAACCTACCGAAGTAGAAATGATTTCTTGATAACTCGGATGCCAACTTACGTCTCGTACACAACTTTTGTGACCGTTTAAAGATTTAACAATAGCTCCAGTTAGAACATCGTAAACTGAAATATTGTTTTTTTGTTAATATGATAAAAAATATAGATCGAGAAATTAAAAAAATTGTTCTTACTGATAACTCGACCGGAACCGCATCCAGTGTAAATGTACCTCTGCCCTGTATGGGCCGGTGAAAAATGACAACGAATCAAAGTTTGAAGAACAGTATGTCCCCGATATGTCATAATGCTTGTATCTCCATCCAACATATTTTTTGTTTTGTACACTGAAAAAAAAAAACAGTTTTAGATGAAAATTCTTTTTTTTCCCCTTTCTATATTTAATTTTTAGAAAATTACATCTTTTTGGAACTCGTTGCCATCTATAGTCCCAATTTTGATTAGCGACTGCTTTTTTTGTATTCATTTCACCATTATGATCGGAGAAGGCACGAACGTCCCACAATTTAATTGTTTGGTCTTTACTGTTTGTTAATAAATGTCTACCATCGCCTCGAGGATCAATGTATGTTATTCCATCCATATGACCAGCGAGAATACCCACTGAATGTGGATCATTTTCACTTAACATCCTTCTGTCCCAAACCTTTTGATAAAAAAGAAAATTCGATTTTAATACTAATTCCCTTTAAAAAAAAAAAAAAAAATAGAAAAAATCTAACCTTGCATAATCCATCATCTCCGGCACTGTAGAGAATTTGAGAAGTATTATCCGCAAAGGCAACACTATTTACATCGTCTTCGTGTCCTTCAATCTAAAAATATGTACAATATAATAATGAATTTATATTATTTTTTAAAAAAAATACGAACCCTCAGAACACGCTGTTGACATTCCCTATCGTAGACATAGAGAAAACCATCATTTCCACCGCATAATATCTCACGACCATCACTTGAAAATACTAATGAAAATATACAAAATCTACGCTCCAATGGTGAGAGAAAAAGTGTTTCTTGCGTATTTGAGTCTCCAAAAATAGGGCACATATAAACTAGAAAAAAAAGAGGAAATTAATAATTCATTTACTTTTTACTAGAAAAATTTATGTAAATACATACGATTTTCCGACCAACTAGAATACACAATATAATTTCCATCAGGACTGAATGCTGTATCTAAAATACTCCATCCTACATCACGAGCTGATATTTTTTTAATTTCTGTAAACTCTCCATTGTCAGTTTTATACAACCTGAGATATTTATCTACAAATCAAAAACAAATTTATATAATAATCTTTATATGTAATAAATAAATAAATATTCTATTTTAAAATTATACCCCTAGTAAACAATTGACAATATAAGACATTTTTTAAATAATTATTTCTCCCATTTAATTAAATCAAATTACTTTTGCAATGAGTGGTTTCGAAAGAGAAATTTCTAAACTTTACAATTGTAAAAAAATTTTTTCAAAAAAACATTTAAATAGTATAAAAAATTTAGTTTGAAGGTTAAACTTGTAAATATCTCAAAACACGTTGTCTCCGATTTTGACAAAATCTATGTCAAAAGAAAGCTTAAATATTCTATTTTTTATTTCCGTAAAGTTTATAATGGACATTTTCGAGAATTTCCAGAAATTAATTAAAATTCTCAGACGTTTCGGAGGTTAAAAAGAATTGAAATTTGTATGAATGGAGAACCATTTCTTTAAGAGCGGATTTTGTTTTTTAAATTTAATTTCCATTAACCTTACATTATTACATCACTTGACATTAGAGAAAAAAAATATTGTAAACAATAAATATATTGATAGCTATTTGCTATTAAAAATTTTTCAAATTTAAAAAAATTATTAAGATTAAAATTGAAGTTTTAAAATTTATTTATTTAAAAATTTCGTAAAAACAAATGCCGCTGTATTTGAACAGAGGTTCTCTATTCATGCAAATTTCAACCCTTTTTAACCTTTGAAACGTCTGAGAATTTTAATTAATTTCTCGAAATCCTCGAAAATGTCCATTATAAACTTTACGGAAATAAAAAATAGAATATTTAAGCTTTCTTTTGACACAGATTTTGTCAAAATTGGAGACAACGTGTTTTGAGATATTTATAAGTTTAACCTTCAAACTAAATTTTTTATGCTAATTAAACGTTTTTTTTTTAAATTTTTTTTACAATAATAAAGTTTAGAAATTTCTCTTTCGAAACCACTCATTGCAAAAGTAATTTGATTTAATTAAATGGGAGAAATAATTATTTAAAAAATGTCTTATATTGTCAATTGTTTACTAGGGGTATAATTTTAAAATAGAATGCCCCAAATATATTAAAAAAAAAAAAAATTAAAAATTAAATCACAAACCTTGACACGCAGTAAGGAAGAACTTTCCATCGGTTGAATATGAACCACAAAATGCTTTACTATTATATTTTGCAACTTGATCCATTCTATTCGGTAAATAATTACTTGATATTTTGCATCTTTGACCAGCACTAAAAGTTGAACCTATTTCTCTTCTTTGTAACATCATTGGTAGACCAGCTACATTATCTCCAATACCACAAGCCTCTTTTGTCGTCAGACTAATTTCACTTTTCTAATAATAATAATTAAAAATTCATTAAATTAAAAATATATTTTAAAAGAAAGAAAAAAAAAAAACTTACATCAAGTCTGGAAGTATTTGGTCGACTAGAAACGCGAGGAGGTCGTGCAGTAGAATATTCATCAGAGTCATCGTGTTCCTCTGAAATAATATGTACTTGACCACTGTAAAATAAAAAACAATATTTTATTTCTCGCAAAATATCTCTCTAAAACTACAAGAAAATAAAATTAGAAAATGTTTTCATCATCCAACATGATAATAATCTTATTTTTACAAGATGTCAAATTAAAACTTGGAGAAAGTTATTTTTATCCCAAAAAAAAAAAAAAATATGTCATTGTAAATAAACAAAACCTTTGTATTAAATACTGCAATATCGCAGCCCATCCTGGCTCTTGGTAATCCATTTCATGAGAACTACTGCTGGCACCCATATGATTTCAACTAATATTTGTCTAAAAGAACAATGTTTTTCAAAATTTTATAATTCACAGTATAATATGTCAAGTATAAGACAATAAATAAAAAGAGAATAAATTCAATACTTATTAAAAGAAGAAGAAGAAGAAGATTTCGTAATATGATCTTCAAAACGATAAAAATACACATTCATTAAAAAAACAAATCACAAATGAAACACAAGTGTTTTTTTTAGAAAAAATTTACTTCGTATTGAAATTGTTTGGTTATGTGTACATTTTAACAGGGATGAATCGGTAACGTAAAATAATAACTCTTTTTTTTGAAGTTTCGATATAAACCCCCAAATGTGACATGACATTTCTTCTATTCTATTTCCCTTTCCCTATTAAAAAAAAGGTTAAATACTTCTATTCTATTTCTCCTTCATAATACTAAAAAAGATAAATTATCATAAACTATTATTTAATCAGTTTTACCTATTAAAAAAAAAATGATTTTATTAGTCTTAATTTTGAATTTCCCACCGCGCTTGCGTACAATTGTGTACGTACCATAATTTTTGTGGCGCCGAATACCAGTGACCATTCTTGGTTGCATTCGGGCAGGGGCGGTTGGGTTTTGGGGTATTTGGTAATTAATATTATTTAGTTTGACGTATATTCCATGTTCGACATTTACATTTACAAAAACGTTTGTCTCTTTCGTTTTCATATTGTGTCGTCGTTAGTTGTCGGGTAAATTCGTTTTTGGTCAAATTACACACAAATTAAATACAATACTGATAAACTTTTGGACATTCGCAAGTGCGTGTTATTGGTTTCGTCGTTCGTTGGATTACGTACAAGTTTAAAAGATATATAAGCACCGTGAAAAAAAAAAAAATCGTTGCCAGCCGATTTCTGCTGGCCAGAAAATGGTACGAGGTCAAAATGTTGAAGAATTGTTGCTGGAAAAATCCGTGGAGAAGGAGTGTATGAGAAAGTGTGAAGGACAGTTGTCGCCATCGTCAAAGACAAACAGCTGTTCATCCTGTAAAATTGTTGAAGGAACGTCAGAAATGGCACAAGATGATAACACTCCCTGTTGGGATAGTTTGCCAAGTGTTATTTTACTGGAAATTTTTTCTTATCTCCCACAATGTAATCGTTTACAAGCCTCACAGGTAATTTAGATATTTAATTTTTGTTTTTATTTTCTCAATTTTCAGTTTATAATATGGTAATATCATTTTTTTTTTGTAAACATGTATATCTATAGTTTGAAAGTAGAGACGTATTTTGTATTTATTTATCTAATTGTGAATGAGATATTTTTCTGTTTTAATGAATATATGAAGGTCATGAAAAATTTTATTAAAATGAAAAAATTACAATTATTGAAAATATTATAATTTAAATTAATAATAAAGTTTTATCTATAAACAATAAAATGTCATTATATATATATATATAATTGTAGAGAGAATTTTTAGGTGAAAGTTTAAATCTGCGATTTTGTTGTGACGACATAAATTACTGACTCATTTATACGTTTTTGTTTTATATTTATAAACTTGTTTTCAATTTACGCGTTTATGCTTCAATTTTGAGATTTTAGTCGATAATTGAAAATGTATTTTAGGTTTGTAAAAATTGGAGATACGCATTGTTCCATCCAAGTTTTTGGAAAAAAATCACATTTTCTTTTAAAGATGAAGATAGTGTGGCATGGGCAAGGTAATTATTTAATTATTACGAAAAAATAAATAAAAGTGAAAGTATATTTAATTTTACATATATCTATGTAGATTTTTGATGAGTTGCTTTGGTCTGAGTGTTCAAGACGTCACAATAAGTTGCGAAACATCTGGTGTCTATGTGAAAGAAGCAGTAAATCTTTTAAAAAAATTAAGCAACAATAAACAACTTCGGAAATTATTTTTGGAACCAACTAATTGTCCATATGAGTGGCCCATTAGACGAATAGAAAACGAAGATGATTGGTAAATAAATAAATTAGTGGAATAATTTTAATAATTTTAAACTTTTCCTTTTTTTTTTTAGGATTCGAACATTTTCAAGTTCCGTTATGGAATCACTTGTAAAGATAATTGAGACATCAAATTGTTTAGAAGGACTGAGTTTAGGATGCATCGAAGAATTAACATCGAGTGCCAGTATGATTTTGGAACCTTTACAACATTATCATGCCAAACACTTGACTTCCCTTTGTTTAGCATCGGTAAAAGATGATCCTGATCATTATGATTTTTTGGAATTAGACACTAGTCTTTTTAGTTCCTTTTGTCGATTAACTGTCTTGACAATTGATTATGATTATGTCAATGATACTTTACTTAATTCTTTGGATAATGGAGTACTTGAGAAATTTGTTATTCACGTTCATGGCTTAGATGATGATTATCCAGGAACTTCCAATCAGGCATGGGAGAATTTTACTCAAAAAAAGTAAGATTTTCCTTCTTTAAAAAATATTTTATTAAATTAAATTTTTTGTATTAAGAAAACTGTTTTTGTGATTTATTAAATGAAAATTTAATTTTCAGTCACGCTTGCGAATTGCGTTTGAATTTGATTCATGCTTATGTGGCTGTAAAAGATCTTGATTCAAAAATTCTTCAACCTGCAATGCCTCTCACACAATTGAAAGCACTTTTTTGCGAACATATCAACATAAGTGCATTGCATTGTATATCAATTTGGTATCCAAATACATTACAATCGCTCGTTTGGATTGATTCAGTTGATCATACAAAGGATTTGCCGGCAACTTTTGATCCTCACGAACCAAATAGGTAGGCAAATAAAATTATTTAACAAAAAATAATTTTTTTTTATAAAATAAAGAAATGAAATATTTAAAAAAAAAATAATCCAGCACTTTTAATCCTAAAATCAATAGCTTCAAGGTTAGATTTGGATTCTGCGCTAAAAATCATATCAGAATCGATTTTTATTGCTTAGGCAAGTTATTGCAATTTTATTAATGTATGTGTTTTATAATTATCGTCATTTAAACTAGCCAATTGTGGAATAAAAAAAGTCAAACTGATAAGAAAAAAGGAAAAAAAATTGTTCTTACAATTTCAGGAGGAATTTTTTAAATTTGATTTATTATTTTAATTGTTTGTTAATATGTTCGCAGTCCGGATCCATTAGTTGTTGTGGCCTGGAAATGTACGAAATTAGTGGAAATGGTTTTCATAGGACATAAGTATGCTCAGGAAAATTTATTAGCAATTGCTCGACTTCGTGGAAATACACTTCATCGACTTGTATTCTCTGAAAGTGATATCGCAGCTGATGAGGCATCGTACGACGGTGATAATATTATGGAAGTGAGTATTTTCAAATTTTATTTATTTTTAATTTATTACATTATTTTTTTTTTTTTTTTTTTTATAGGAAATCAAGGAAATTTTAGGATCTCGTTGGGATCCGATAAGTGATTTAAGACTTCCAGCGGTCGTTATTGATCCTTTAATTGGAGATAGTCGAGAAGTAATAATGCCAATGGTTCTTCACGATCAAAAGTAAAAATTCTATTCACAAGTTCCAAGCCGAAGTCTTTCAACCATCTCAATCGTTTTAATTTCTTTGAAACAAGAACAACTGTCAAGACTGTGTGTGCAAGTGTGATCCTTTCATCTCTTATTTTGCCCGTCGATTCCATTTATATCACCATTTGTATACATTTTTCTGGTGTCTCCGTTTGAATGGTGTTTTAAATTATCAATTCTGCAAAAAAAAAAAAATTCATCCTTTTTGAATCATATAACAGGGATGCAAATGACGTAAGTAGCAATTGATAGTCCAAATAACTTAGAAAAAAAAAAACGATATTTTAGAACAAAATATTGTAATTTGTCCACCGTTCTTCGACCAAATAATTACCAAAATAATCAAATATGAATCGAATCTTCAGGATAAACTTTTAATTGATATGGGTTTCATTTTTTAAAAATAGACCCACAATGTGTTTGCCTCAAAAAAAAAAAAAATGGAAATAGAAAAACAGTCAGGGAATTCCATTTAAGTCTCTATGTGTGAGAAAAACATTGACTACTCGATTATTGTATTTTATATCAAATTTCCTGAGGAAAATCGCATTTGTCACTAAAAAAAACCAACTAGACAACAGGGCCACGTTAGGGCCCCATGTGACCTAAAAAACCCATTAAACAGGGTAATATTAATGTATAATAAATAACGAAAAAAAAAAAAAAAATAAGAGAAAGAAAGTGAAAAGAAAAGAAATAGCTCCATGATAAAAAAATAAAGACGTCCGATTTAGAGAAGAAGAGGTCTGAATTCCTAAGATCTTCCATCAGAAAATTTTAGTCATGATTCACATCGTAGTTAGGGACGTTTACAGATATTTTTCCAACTTGCTGGCAATTTAGTTTGTAGAAAAACAAAAACAAAAAAAAAAAAAAATACAAAAAACGAGTGAAAGTGTTAACAAAAAAAAGAATGAACGGGAAATAGGGGGAAAGAAAGAACGAATGAAAAATTTCAACATCAAAACACAATAAAAGTCAGAAAACGAAAGAAAAAAAAAAATTATTTTACATAAATCGTTTTCAAAAAAAATATATATATCTCGATACAATATATATCTATGTGTCTCGAGTAAATATCGATTAGCAATCCGAGGTTATTTTTAATACCAAAACCAATCGGATGCAAGTGTACAAAAAAAAAAAAGAAGAAGAACAAAACACAAAAAATAAACGGTTTCTCATTTAAGAGAGCGCAAAATATTAACTATCTAAATAATCTAGATGATTTAGTCTTTAATCATATAAATGTATCTATTATTATTATATTTGAAGCAAATAATCGTGCGATTTTAAATGTTTTTCAAGGGCCAATGAATGCAATAGGCAAATGGAATATCAATCGTCGATGAAAAAGAAAGATTTATATATATATTGCAAAATGTGATTTACGATTATTTCGTTCAAAAAAAAAATTCGTATTGCAGACGATTTTTTTTTTAGAAAAAAAGTAGTGATTCCAAGAATGTCATTGCCTACTTATCGAAGGTGAAGTTCCGCGCGCAAAAGTTAAGAATACTAGAGCTTGACTATAACGAAAGGAGAAAAAAAAAAAAAATAAGATAGTATTTTAGAGAATTAGGGAGCATCAGGAATACGAAGTGACTTAGCTGAATAACTTGTCCAACAAGATTAAAGAAAATAAATAATAAAAATAAAGGAACGGGCCTTAATATGTACCTGAGTCGCGCCAAGACTAATTTTGTCGATAAAAGAAAAAAAAAAAAAATAATAAGCGCGACAACAATCCAAAATAATCCTAAGCACCTGAGAAAAAAGCGTGTGAATTTCGTGGCAATCTTCAACGCATCATGTTGACTACTGTAATTATTAAACTAGAAAAATCAACGAACAACAAAAAAAAAAAAAATAATAAGAACGATTATAATATTAGAGAGAAAAAAAATTTAAGATCTAAAACAACTTTTATGATAAAAAAAAGATTAATATTAAAAAAATATTTAAAAACCTATTTAGAATCCGCTAACTGAAATTAACTCTTTTTGGCTGACAATTTCATCATTCAATATTAAAATTATTAAATACAAAAATATAACGGTTAAGGGGGGAACACCAGTTGTAACTCAAAAAATAATGCTTTTTTCAAGAATATTTTCCAAAAGAACAATGAATCTTTTTAAAGAATACTATTTATTAGTTAAAAGTACATGTAAAAAGCTGTAATTTAAAAGAAAAAAAAAATTTTTTTAACAAAAACTTTTGGAGATATGAGCCATTGAAGTGGCGTCTTAAGAAAAAAGGCGAATTGCGGTGACCAGCATTCTGCAAGTATACTTCGTCTGAAATACAAAAATGAAATTGATTTACATTTATTATAAGATTATCTAGTTCGTGATCGAAGGATTTAAAAAAAAAAAAAAATTTGACAAAATGGCGACCTGTCAAAGTCAAAAGTATGATTTTCGTTAAAAAAATACGGTCGATTTTCAGCTATATAAAAAAAAGTTTTGCATAAAAAAAAAAATCCTTCGATCACGAACTAGACTTATATGTGTAAATGAAGCACACTAAATTTTAAATAAATCGGTTTAATGGTATTCGAGTAATCGTGGTCACCGACTTGGAAAATGTCATTTTGAGAAAAACGCATTCAAAGTTTCAACTTACTTTTTTTTGTTCAGAAGAAATTTTGTTTCCAAGTTACAAAGAGTCATCGATTCTTGGACCATATAATAACTCTTCCGCAGTGGTTGCCGTTTCTAAATCATAGGAAAAGGCCATCTGTCGTTAGGGTCAGTTATGGCTGGCCACCTTGTATGAAGCCACGGGACGCGCCGATGCAGTGTTCTGTATATCTCATTTATTTTTCACCGGATCAACTTTGAAATTTACAGACACATTTCTAAATATGTGTACTTTAAGAAAATGCACAAAAAAAAAAATTGATTTTTCGAAAGTTACAACTGGTGTTCCCCCCTTAATACAGTTTTTGTTTTCATTATTGTTTTTAATAAAAATTATGTTTAATAATAAAAAGTTGCTTGGAATAGTTAATTTCAGTCTATCGAACGATGTATTAAAAAGCAAAAACGACAAATTCGGAAAATGTTGATTAGAAAAGAAAAGAAAATTGGTGCTGTATTTGATAAGTTAAATTAATGAATTTTTTATCCTCGTTTTTCATATAAATATATTATATCAAGAGTTTGCGGACACGTTGTGCAATTGTTTCACTTGTTTGCATGTGCGAATAGTTGAAAATGAAAAAAAAAAAAAACAGAAAAGAAAATGGTCGTAGAAAAGAAAAACTACAATTAAATAAATACGTATTCCAAAAAAAAAAATTTGCGTGCGTTGTTCAGAAGAAAACACAACAGAAAAAAGTGATATATACCACCAATCTCATTGCGTAAGTTCTCTCGATTCTAGAATTTTCAAAATTACAATAACAAAATTTATAATAAGAATTTAATTAATAATTATTAATTAATCGAATTATAAATCAATTTGAGAATTCTAGGTGGAAAAAAGGAGAAAAAGAATCGAGCAACAATCCAAAAAAAAAAAAAAGTGGGCACAGCGCAAAAAAGTATAATTAGCGCGATGACAAAAAAAATAACCAAACTATAAGACTGAGCCGTATTGTATTTTAGAACTGGATTGTTGGCATCGTATTCTCAAGATCAAAACTCCATTTCTCTGATGGATGCTTTTTAAATGAATATTGGAAACGTAACAGCAGCTTTATCTCCCAATTATTATGGTTTGAGTTTTCAATATGTATATTATCTTTTTAATGGAATTATTATAAACGCTAGTCATAAAGGATTAAAAAAAAAAATAATAATTAAATGAAAATCACTTATGCATATTATTATGAGTGATATGGGAGAGGTGGTACGAAATAAAACTAGCTTAGATCTGATTATATGCCCTGAGCACACTCGAAGGCAGACCCCTTTAAAAAAAAAAAACCTAAACATATTAAAGCGCAGCTGAATCAAAAAAAAGAATATTCCATTGTATAATATCAAAAAAAAAAAAATAAAAAACGAGAACGTTAGCTGCAAAAAAAAGTGATATAAGATCTATTTTTTAAGAATCGAATGTATATTTTTCTACTAAGGCAGGCCTTAGTCAGACAAACATGTCCTCTTTATGTGCGTATATAAGATTGAAGATTCGCGAATTAAGAGCTGTGATCCGAGTTTTGAGGTGTGACAAATAATAACAGAATAGAATATACATATATAGATCCGAGTGGGCTGCCACAAATTTGTAAGGGCGAGCAAGTTAAACATCTGTGATAAAAAATAAATAAAAAATAATAAAAACAAAATATAAAAAATCTTATAGGGAGATACTCTCAATGGAGATGATAAAAAAAGAGCGAACGAGAGAGAGAGAAATCGAGTGAACGAATATTAAAAAAAAATAGTGCGAGAAAGAATGTGTGAGATAGAAAAGTATTCTCTGAGCATTAAAAAAAAAAAAGAAAAAAAAAAATCGAATCGTGATCTATGAAATTTGCTTGAGTCGCCGAATAATGGACAATTTTGTCTCAAATAATAATTAATCTTTGTGACGAATCAAACTATTAACAAGATTCTCGATCCGATCTTATTTAAAATGTTAAATTTCACTTTTCCAAGTTAATCTCGAAAATAGATGTCCTTTGAAAATTTATTAATTAATAGGATAATTATATCAGATATGATAATTAAATGTTTGTGAGTGAAGCAATTTTTTTTTTTAATCGACAAAAAATTAGGAAAATATTTTAAAAAATGTTAAAGAAGAATGCAAATAATATTGAAAAAATGTTAATTATTTTTTATGTTTATTTACAAATTTTTATTCAGGTTTTTTTTTTATTTCTGTTTCTATAATTTAATTTTTTTTTATTTCTGTAAATTTCTTTTATATTTTTATAATTTAAATTCGAATTTTTTTTTGAACTTGGATTTGTTTTTATATTTAAATTGAGAAAATTTTCAAATTAAAAAAGAGTTTTTAAAGATCGAGATACTTAACGACCAGTATTACAAGTTTCTATACATAAAGCGCCTCTATGCGGTTTCAAGTGACGAAAACACATCTACACAAAATGCATTTTTTTTTTTTTTTTTTTTTTTCTTAATTTTTATGAGACTTTTACGCATACGTATATATTTCCAAGTAGTATACTCATTCCACTCAAAAAAAAAAGCAAAAATCTTCGGCAAATGTATACAAGAAGAGAATTTTTTTTTTTTACTTTTGGAAAAAGAAATATTAATTTTCATTTTAAAATTAAATATTCGACGTTTTTTTGAATATGTTAAGTAAAATTGTTTATGAAAACATTTGTAATTGAATTTATTTTATATACTGAATATTTTTCTTTTAATCGCTAATTTTATTTTTCATTGTATAAATTTTATAGTCACAAATTGAATTTTTTGTTTTAATTTTTAGTTTGTTTATAGACTGATATAAGCAGGAGTTGTTGTATTCTATAGGGTATAAAAAAAAAATTATGTTTAACATTGTTCAAATTTTCGCACATTTCACGTTTAAATCGAAATATCGAAAAATTATATATTAATTATTAATGCAAAAATTTTGTCTATTTTTATTAATTAATTAATTTTTGGATATTTATATTATATTAAATTAAATTTATTGAAAATAAATTTGAATTAATATAAAAATAAATTGAATTAATTAAAGACAAAAAAATTAAAATTATAGAATGCGTGAGAAAAATGGTAATTTTTTTTTTTTTGAAAAATACCCTTTTTAAAACATCGCGTCGTGTAATGGACAATGTTTTTTTTCTTTATTAAAATTATAATTATTAATACAGATTATTGAAAAAAAAAAAAATTCGTCCATGCTGACGTTAGAAAAATGATAATATATCGACGATAATATTATATCGAGTGTTATAAACTATCTGCCTGGATGCTAGGATATATTACAGATTATTATTACACAACAATATTAATAACAATGTGGTACATCTATATAATAAATAAATATATCTTTATCTTCTTCGCCTAAGTCCATTGATTATTCATCAATAGAATAAAAGAAAAAAAAAATACAATTTTTTTCTCTAACTATATTTGTTATAAACTTCGCTTATATTAAAAAAAAAAATAAAATAAATAAATAAAATGTGCAAGATATATTCATTATATTATACAAATATTTGAGACTTAAATTTTTTGACATTTGTCGTATAAATTATATATACATAAAAAAAAAAAAAATAATGAAAAGTAGTTTCGGCAAGAAATGAAAATATACAATTTTTGTCAATGTCCCATTTTTAGATTATCCTTGGAAAAATGATATTAAAAAAAAAAAAAAGATATAATGTCTTATATATTGATAAACTTATCATGTCTAATTAAGCATGCAACTGGATATTTTTCTGTTTTAGAAAATAAAATATAAGCTTCAAAATAAATTTACAAAAAAATTTTTTTCAAATTCAATTTAAAAAAAATATATATATTACATCTTTTTTGCTTGACTGTATTTTAAGACTAATGTTAAATAATAAAATGCAATGTAATATATTATTTAAAATTAAAAAATTTTTTTTTCTTGAAACGCAGAAAAAATTAAAATGATGAATGTGTTATTATAAAAGAATACAATTTCTAAGACTGTTATATGTAAATAGTTAAACACATTGTATTTTGAAATAATCATCATTTGTCACGTTTAAAGAAAAAAAAAATTTGCTAACAGAAAAAAATAAAAAAATTTTAAATTATAAAAAAATGGAATAAAATTCTATATTATAAAAAAAGTGACAAAAAATGATTTTTTTAAATGCATTTTGTTTTTACTATTTTGGTATGTCTGCAGAGAAGTATCAAACGTTCAAAAAAAAAAAAAAAAAAAAAAAAATTACAATTATTTGGTGTATGAAAATAATGTTTTTATAGGCTTAAATTTTTCGATGAGCTGTTTCAAATTTATTAAATATTATATATGTTTATGTAAAAAAAAAAGTATCGACATTTTGAAAATAATTATGTTTTTGTTGATAAAAAAAAAAATTTGTTATTTCAAAGAAGAATATAAAATGTAATGAAATAATTATATTGGGAAAAAAATTTATTTATTTAAAATAATGAATTATTTAAATAAAATAAATTTTTTTATACATATTTCAAAAAAAAAAATTCAATATCGCTATAATTTTTCTTTAGCCAATATAATTTCTTTTACAATTTAAGATATAATATTATATATGAAACTTTTACTCCTTCAAATTAAATATAATCTCACTGTCAAATATTATGATGAGAAAAAAAAAAATTATTGGCCGATATTTTTGATTTTCTTCATTTTACATAATACTGTTGATACAATGGACGTGAAATTACGTCTCTCATGTATAATTAATTGATCTTAAACAATGTATAAATAAATAAATAAATCATTTACGGCAAGGGAATATTTTGTATTTTCTTTTTTATTATTTAATTATTACTATATTAATTATTACAAATATAATTAATTAATTATATCAATTATTACAAATATAATTAATTAATTATTATTATATTAGTAATTATAAATAAAATTATTTAATTATATTTGTGTTTAAAATGAAAATTACAATATAAAAATTCAAAAGTTGGCGCCAATTGTGTTCAGTTATACATTACGCACGCGCGCAGAAATTACACCAATTAAGAGGCTTGATTTTAAAATTTAAAATTCGCGCTATTGTTTCATTGGTGCAATTCAAAATGAATGATTCTACGCATGTGCCTGATGGTAGTATGATTTAGTTTTTGAATTGTCCTGCAGGGTGCAGAATTATCGGTCTTTCTCGCAATTGAGATGAGAAGACAAATGTATAAAAGCCAAGCCAAGAAAGCTGAAAGCATACTTACCTGGCGTAGAGGTTACCGTGATCAACAAGGCGGTTCCTCCAGGGCGAGGCTCTTCCATTGCACTTCGGTTGAGCTGACCCTTGCGAATATCCCTAATGTGGATATCTCGGGCGTATAATTTTTGTTAGTCGGGACTGCGTACGCGCTGTCCCGGATAAATTAATTCAAACTTAATTAGTTATTTATAAATTAATTATTAAAAATAATTATTACAATAATTCTATTTATTCTGTAAATTTTAATTATTTTTTTGTAAGGATTTTTTAATAGTAAATATTAATATAATTTCTACAATTTATTAATTAATTAATTGTAAGAATTATAATAATTAATAATAATAAATAATATATTAATAATTAATAAATAATAATAAAAAATAATAATAATTAATAAATTAATAATTAATATATTAATAATAAATAAATATAAATAATATATAAAATTAGTGCATTTGTACTAAAATTAAAAATTCCAATTATTTAATAACATTGATTAAAAAAATTAGATTTTTCATAGAAAAATTAATTTGTTATAGAATAAAATAATGCACTATTTTTTAATCCACCAATTATGTTTATTGCTGTAGAAATAAGCATTACAATTTGAGCAACTGATTTATTACTCTTTTCGTATAGTTACTGCAATTACATTTTTTTTTATCAGTACAATGTTACATACTAAAACCTCGAACGATGCGTTTATTAATTACAACAATGAAAATAGCTTTTTAAAGCCAACAATCAAGATTCCTTTAAATTTTCTATAGAATGTAATGTGAAGAATTCACAATACGTTTTATAGAAAATTGTTGATTGCTGGGTAATTTTCTATGAAAAAGAGGCTTTTTCTTTTCCGTTTCTTTTTTTTTTTTTTCGTTAAAGATAATATCATATGAGAGTTTGTAGTTTTCGTTCTCTCGGGATTAATTATAATTATCACATAGGATTTATATATTTATAATTATGACAGAATTCTAAACCTAATTGTACACATTTATTTAATTTTTTTTTATAATAAAAAGATCCAGTTATTTCTGGTAACAATTTTGTAATTTTAAAAAAATTCTTTGCTTTTCTATTGACATAAAGGCAGTGCGAAATAAATATTTTGAATTTTTTTATATTTTAACATTTCTTAAGATTTTAATTTATTGAAAATTATTTTCGTTTTGTATATTGGGAAAAATGCGTGGAAATTAATTTCCATTAAATATATATTTCGTTGAACTATTTTGAAATTTTTGTATTTTTCCAGTTTATTTTTCACAAATTAATTATTTATTTATATATATTATTCTAAATCATTTATTTCTCGAGACACTTTAAATCGATGTTTATTAATTATCAAATATTTATATTAATACTATTTTTTTTTATCTTGCACAGTTTTTTTTTTAAATAGTATTCACGCTGGAAATAATATTACAATGACTAGTTTTAAATCTAAAATTTTTCACATGATATTTATATATACAGTATACTACTTGATAATAATTAATAATAATATGTTTTTACGCTTCGTCGATTTAATTCTCACTTATCGCTTTTTATAATACAGGCAGTTAATTACTAAGTCGTTGTACATTTTTATTTTTTTATCGTTTCTATATTATTATATTAATTAGTAATAAATATAAATACCAGTGCTTGTTTATCTAGAAAGAATTAAAATATATTTGCCCAAAATATGCTTGTAAAGGAGATTTTGAGTTTAAAAAAAAAAAAAAAAAATTGAGGGATTTTTAATTAATATTTACAAGGAAATAAAAATTATATAAAATTTAACTAAATTGTAGTATATAAAAAGAATAGGTGAGCTCTAATTTATACATATTTATATATACAATAAATAAATATAATATTTAAATTAAAAATGAGTTTTTATTAGAGAGAAATTATAAATTTTTTAAATTTGAAATTTAGAATAAAATTTTATTAAAAATAAAATATTTGGATATTTTTTCTTTTTCAATTTAAATAGCAATTAACATCGAATATGAGAACAAAAAAAACTTCAGTCTTCATGGTTTAAGCGTGATTGTCAATTACATATTTTATCCATAAACTACAAGAGATTTTAGGGAATGATTTTTTTTCTAATTTCTTAATTTTTCTATAGTACAATACGTTTGGGAACTAGCGCAAAGAGCTCACCAATTTATGGGATAATAAAAAATTAAAAAAATAAAAAATTAAAATTAAATAAAATTTAATGTTAGTTTATAATTATATTAATATATACTAATTAATATTAATATTACTTATATTAATATTAATTTACTATATATTATTAATTTTTTTTAATTTCTTTCCAGTATGTATTAATTTTTTGTAGGAGAAAAATTGTTTATATCTAACTTAAATTTACAGGTGAAAATTTTTCCATCTACGACTAAGCAGCGAATGTGAAAAATACATTTTTTACGTTTCAATAATAAAAAAATAATAACTACAATAGTGTGTAGATAAAGCGAAGATTTATTTTACAAATTTCACAATTATTTTTTTTTTATTTTAGTTTTTTTTTTTTTGAAATAGTTTTCATTATAATATTATATCATATCGCATGTATATAGACTATAAAATAATGTATTATTTGAAATATTTAAACAATTTAACAATAATAATAAAGACTGAATTATTTTATTTGTACTTTGAAAAAATAATTTATTTTTAAATTTATCATAATTCGAGATTTTAATTTCAAAAAATTTTTAATAATTATTTAAAAATAGAATTAAAATTTTTTTTTGAACTGAAAAATTTAATAAGAAAAATAATATCTTAAATTGCTTTTAATAATTCATATTATACACGATATGATGTAATTATTTACTGGAAAGAGGCACGCAAGAGTGAGATGTAGATTATTGGATTAATACAAAGATTGTTGGAAAAAAATATTTGTATTCTTATGATAAGAATGAATTTTCCATTAAGAAAAAATTATAAAACAAAGGCAAAAAAAAAGTAAACTATTTTGAAAAAGCAATAAAAAATAATATATTTTAGTATTTTGTTAATACAAATAAATTATTAATTAATTTTAATTCAATAAAAATCAAATATTGAATTAAGATAATTTAATATTAAATAATATTAATATGATATTAATATTAAATAATATAAATATGATATTAATATTAAATAATATAAAATCAATAATAATTAAATTAGATTAATAAATAATATAATATCATTGGTAAATGAAATTGAATTTTTTTTTCCAAACAATCATTGAATCGACAGATATAGTACATATAGGTATAGGTACATTGATTTATAAATTATCACATATCAGTAAACAAGTAAATTACTTGTTAGCAATAGGGGCAACAATATAGCCAAAGGCAGCGTTATGCTTACTCTGTATAAATAACGTACAGCTAAATCGCTAATGGTCTATTCCTTTAATAGCATTACGTCAATTATATATATATATATAAATAGTATTTTTAATGCAATAACGGTAACAGTTTTTTTTAAATTAATTAATTAATCAATTAATTAATAGCTATCGTATATGCTACGTGTATGCTTCCAATATTTTTTTATATAAATTCAAAAAGTCTTTTATTTTATTTTTTTTTTCGATCACTGTCACTGCCATAATAAATAGAGTTTCGCAGATGAGTGACAGTTTCAATCCCTTTAAAAAATAATCTATATCCGATATGTCAGCAATTCGTTATAGTTTTTTTTTTTTTTTTCAATGATCTTTGATCTATTTATTCACTAAATTGCATCTTGAAAAATAATTCACGTTTATCAGTCGCGCACGTACCAACGAAAGTCATGTACCTATATTATATTTCTTTTTTTTTTTTATATTTATTAATACGCAGCAATAACGATTTCTACCATATACACCTATTATTATTTACAAATAAGTCTAATAGTTTCATTGATCCCACCTATTATATAAAGTTACAATTATGATGTGTCATAGCCGTAGTATGTAGCAAATTCATTATTTATAATCATTGAGTTCCAGGTGTGATGAAAAATACGGGAAATTTATCTTTTTTATAGTTCCTTTAATCTTTTTTTTAAATAATTTTATTTAAAAACTTATTAAAGGAAAAATTGAAAAATTTGTGTTCACAAAATACCAATTTACCGACTGTTGGTAAGGTAGGAATCTACTTTACCATCAGTCGGAAAAATAGATTCCTAAATTTACCATCTAGATCACTAATTCACATTAGTTAGTAAATAATTAGGATACCGATTTACCGACTGTTGGTAACGTAGGGATTTACTTTACCACCAGTCGGCATAATAGATTCCTAAATTTACCATCTAGATCACTAATTCACATTAGTTGGTAAATAATTAGAATACCGATTTACCGACTGTTGGTAACGTAGGGATTTACTTTACCACCAGTCGGCAAAATAGATTCCTAGGTTATCAACGGTCGGTAAAAATGATATATTTTCCAGTTTCTTTATTACTAACGCAACTGAAATTGTTCTTTTTCCAATATTACTAATTTAAAATAGGGAAAAATTAATTTATCAATGAGCCCTGGAGAATTTTAGTTAATTTAAGAATTGACAGACAATTTTGTCACTAAAATTTAAGTTTTTAAATGACAATTCAAAATTTTTTTTCTATTTTGAATTGCAATTATTATTCGCTAATCGAATATAATAATCAGTCCTGAGTTGATGACACTTTTTTTCAAGAAAAATAGGAATTCTTATTTTTTTCAGTTCCTATTTTCTTTTTTAATGTTTTATTTTTTATTTGAAAAGAATTTTTGTTTCTCTTGTAAGTACCTTTATATTTTGCAGTGAATAAATCTCTAATATCAAGAGGTGGGCGCATAACCAAGATTTTTCCTTTGCAAAAAAAGTGATATCTCACGGAATGTCGGTCTCTCGAAATCTTCTCGTCGCCAGCATTCTAACATAAGATCATAAATGTCCTTTGATGAGGCTGTTGGTCTTGGTAGATAGTCAAATAATGTAAGGACGTCTTCTTTTTCGTTGTCTTCAGTTGAATCGCTGCCACTGCGATGCAATTGTTTTAAACTTTGCATTACTTCATCGTCAGTAAGATGTTCATAAGGAACTCGTCTTCCAAGATTTAAAATTTCCCACAGAGTCACGGCAAATGACCAAACATCACTTTTCGTTGTATATTTACCCTTTTATGACAAAAAAAAATATTTTATCAAACTAGAATATTTTTTTTAAATTTGTACAAATATTTTTGTAAATTAGTATCTTTTATAAAATATATTACATACCAAGGATAATGATTCCCATGCCATCCAACGTAATGGCAGAGAAACGTTTCCATCCATTTTGTAATAGTCACAGGCGTACAATTCATTATCAGTTCCAAAATCTGATATTTTTACATGATATGCTTTTCCCACTAAACAATTCCTGTAAATAATGAATAATTTTTTGAGAAAGAATCAAAAATTTATGTTTTTAACAAATATTAACAGTATACCGACTGTTGGTAATGCAGATTTCTGTAATGGCAATATACCATCAGTCGGTAATGTAGATTTGCAATAATTATTATTAAAGACAAAGTTACTGGTATGTAACAACAATAATGTAACTGATATTAGATTATTTATAACAGTATATCAACGGTTGGTAATGCAGATTTCTGTAATGGCAATATACTATCAGTCGGTATTGTATATTTGCATTAATTAATAAAAATATAGTTATCTGCATGTAACAATAATAATGTAGTAACAGTATTTGCTGGTATTATATTATTTTTAACAGTAATAACAGTATATCGACTGCTGGTAATGCAGATTTCTGTAATGGCAATATACTATCAGTCGGTAATGTAGATTTGCAATAATTATTAAAAATATAGTTATTGGTATATAACAACAACAATGTAACTGATATTAGATTATTTATAACAGTATATCAACGGTTGGCAATGCAGATTTCTGTAATGGCAATATACCATCAGTAGGTAATATAGATTTGCAATAATTATTAAAAATATAGTTATTGGTATGTAACAACAATAATGTAACTGATATTAGATTATTTCAAACAGTATATCAACGGTTGGTAATGCAGATTTCTTGTAATGGCAATATACCATCAGTCGGTAATGTAGATTTGCATTAATTAATAAAAATATAATTATCTGCATGTAACAACAATAATGTAGTAACAGTATTTGCTGGTATTATATTATTTATAACAGTATTAACAGTATATCGACTGCTGATAATGCAGACTTCTGTAATGGCAATATACCATCAGTCGGTAATGTAGATTTGCAATAATTATTAAAAATATAGTTATTGGTATGTAACAACAATAATGTAACTGATATTAAATTATTTATAACAGCATATCGACTGCTTTTAATGCAGATTTCTGTAATGGCAATATACCATCAGTCGGTAATGTAGATTTGCAATAATTATTATTAAAAACAAAGTTACTGGTATGTAACAACAATAATGCAACAATATTTTATTATAAAAAATTTAAATATAAACAAAAAAAAATTTTTAAAAATACTTATAAAATATTAAAATTGAAAACTTAGAAGTTATTGGATATATGTCAAGTGTGAAATTTATTCCATGACCGACTTTTTGAAATGAAATTATTGGATTTCGATCATAGAGCACCTGATGCCTTTTTTTTTATTATTCTTAAAGAATTCAGATGCTTTTAATATTTCTTTGAAGAAAAAAATCAAAAAAAAAAAAAAAAAATGTTTAGATCGATATTTTTTTTCGGTGGGGACAAAAGTGGCATGCAATGCATGACATTGCTATGCATATCTGCATATACGTATGTGCATTCTGTGCATGCGGCGTGCCGGAAGCTAAAATGGTGCTTGCAGCTAGTTTGGTGCACACTGTTCAGATTATGATGCGGCTCCAAACTTTCCAGGAACAATAGTTGCCAACAGGATCCACTCGGAAACGCGATAAACAACGTTTATGCAAATTTGACTATAAAATATGATTTTATCATCGTGATTGGTCCAAGCAAAGTTACCATATACAATTATAACTAAATATATATAGTTTTTTTAGACGTAATTTCTAAAAAAATTTTTTTTGGAAAAAATTTTAATTAAATAATGAATTTCCTTTTTTTTTTTTTTTGTTGAAAAATATAAAGTATTATCTCATTCAGGATAATTTTACACTTGGTCATAATCCTTTTAACCTTATTTGAAAAACAATTTTATCTTTTTTAAGACCGGTAAAGTTTTGACTTTAACCTCACGTATTAATCTTCTCAGTTATACAGTGAACTTCTTTTTCCTTCTCAGCAGTACAATTAGGTTTCAAAACTTAAAGTAGGTTAAAAGATAAAAAGGGAACTTTAAAATCTGAGATATATATATTCCTTTTTCTTTTGAAATTTATTCATGAGATTCATGAACCATGAAATAATGTAAAATGTATTATAATAAATTATATATGAAATATAGAAATAATTTTAGATTAATATTTTCTATTTTTATATATAACTATAAATAAATATATAGTAAATAAATATAATAAAAATATAATAAATAAATATAGTATTATTAATGTTTACAATTCACTAATATATTTGAAAATAACATATATTTAATTTAGAAATTTGAATAATCACTCGATAAAATATTAATTACAAAAGTGATATGGAGATTAATTAAATTTGATGGAATAATTAATTAATCATAGATAATAATCAATAATCTTAATTAATTGTTGTCATTTAAACGAGACAACACGAACCAGTAATTAAAGAGCAAATAAGGTAACCAGTTATTCAACTGATGAAATCAATTTATTTGGTAAAGCAGGACAAAGCTTCGATTTCGAGTCAGTTCCTGTGGGTAATTAGCAGTGCGTTATTGATCATTCTGATTGGTTAGTTATAGCTGATTACCATCCCACAATGTAGCACTCAAATATTTATCAAATTTTATACATATTTCAGTGTAAAGTGAAAATTTATTCTTTCTACAAAACATTGTTTAATGCATTTTCTTTAAATGTTTTAAGTGAGAATATTATTTTTAAAAATTGCTCCTTATCTGCATTCAGTGGTATAAGACAAGTCAGACTGAATTAACAGAATTATTAAATTTTTGAAATTTGCATATAAATGGTAAAAGTGAGTTACAATGGAATAAAAAAGAATATCAGAAGTACAAGTCATTTTTGGTGAGACGGAAAATTTTTAAGTTCTGTAATTTTAGGATAAGGAACATCAGACAGTAAGAGTCAGACAAAATTTAAAATTTTTAGAAAATACTTAAAATATTCACAGTAGTACAGGCATTTTCTAATCAGACAGAATATTTTTATTTTCTGTTATTTTAGAATAAGTAGAAACAGATAATAATAGTCAGACAAGGCTTTCAAAATTCCTGTAATTTTGGTTCCTGAAAAATGAGTATCAGTAGTATACGTCATTTTTAGTCAGACAAAACAGTTTTTATTATTAAAGTTGAAAAATTAGTAATAAAGTTTAAAAAAAAATATTTTAATTTATAAAATAAGTAGTATAAGTAATGTTTGGTCAGACAGAACGATTTTACTATTCTGTTATTTTATAATAAGTGATACCAGACAGTAACAGTCAGACAAAAACTTTAAATTGCTAAAATTTTAGTATCAGTAGTACAAGTTACTTTTAGTCAGGCAGAATGGTTCCTGAAAATTATCAGTAGTATAAGTCATTTTTTGTCAGACAGAACTGTATTTATTTTTTACTTGTAGAATTAGCAATAAAATATAAAAAAATATAATAATTTATAAAATAAGTAGTACAAATATTTTTTGGTCAGACAAAATGATGTAAGTATCCTGTAATTTTTAAACAAGTTATAACAGACAATAACAGTCAGACAAAACTTCAAAATCCCTGAAATTTCAGTATCAGTGGTAAAAGTAATTTTTAGTCAAATCGATTTTAATTTCTGTAATTTTAGAATAAGTAGTAAATAACAATAATAAATTTTGAATATCAGTAGTACAAGTAATTTTTTAGTCAGCCAGAATGGTTCCTGATAATTTAGTATCAGTAGTACAAGTCAATTTTGACCAGACAGAATGGATTTTATTTTTCTACTTGCAAAATTAGTAATAAAGTCTAAAAAAAGGATAGTAATTTATAAAAATAAGTAGAAAAGTCATTTTTAGTCAGACAAAACAGTGCCGAAAAATTTTAGTATAAGTAGAACAAATCATTTTGGGTCAGGCCAAACATTTTTTATTTTTCTAGTTGCAGAATCAGTAATATAGTTTAAAATAAGTATAGTAATTTATAAAGTAAGTAGTACAAGTATTTTTGAGTCAGACATAATTTTTTTAACTATCTTTTAATTTGCAAATAAGTGAAAAACAGACAGTAATAGTCAGAGAAAAAAAATAAATTCCTAAATTTTTCGTATCAGTAGTAAAAGTCTTTTTTAGTCAGACAGAACATTTTTAATTTCTATACTTTTAGAATAAGTAGTAAAATTAATTAATAGTCAGACAAAAATATTAAATTTTAGAAAATATTTGAAAATTTTTTTCAGAAGTAGATGTAATTTTTAGTCAGACCAAAGAAACAATTTCTATTATCTTTTATCAAAGATTATTAAGAAAAAAATTCTTTAAGCTAATATTAACTAAAATCCATTTTGATTCAACATTTCAATTGGAATTATATGCAATAATATGTAAACCATTGTTCTCCAGAATTGAAGCAAATTATCCGAATATATATATATATATATATATAGCATGTCCTCTTTGAAGAGGAATTTAGCCGTCATAAATTTTAATAGCCATTCCATTCAGGAGCTAATTCCAAGCTGAATTTGTAGATCTCGATTTAGAGGTTTATTGCATACGCATTTCAGGACTTACATCGGAAATGGATTTTCATTGGTGAAGGGCTCGAGCGATATATAATATTCATACGACTGCATAATAAATGAATGGGGATCCTTGGATAGTTTGACTGGACTATGCATCTCAGAGAAGGAGGAGAAGAAGAAGAAGAAGGGAAATTCCAAGTTATGGAAAGGGAGAAACTACATTTATAACCCAAGTCGGAACAAAAGGCATTTAGAGTGTTAAAGTTATATAGTATATTTCCCCACTTGCTGTAAAATCGATTTTAATCTTAAAAAGAAAAGAAATTATTACTTTAAATCTTTTATAAAAAGATTTAAAATCAAATTTTTTTTGCTTTAAACTTTCGAATTCTATATCTTTAGTTATTTCAAGAGTATATTAAAACATTTTCTTTTGAATAATTATTATTTTGTAATCTAAAAAAAAAATTCTTCTAATTTATAATCCAATTACTTTTGCAATGTAATAATGAAAACACAATGTAATCTCGTGGAAATTCAGGGAATTTAATTAAAATTTTACATTCAAATGAAA